TTATATTTTTCAATCAAAAGTATTACATTCGCCAATCTGATATGATGACCGTCATCCTCCTTAGCTGATATGATCTCACCCGCCAGATTCTCCCATGCCTCTATTATCTCCACCATCGAAAGATTGTTCATCGTGATATCAAGCCCTCCAATCTGCTCATCAATTCTCAGCGTACCGACGGAGGACTATATTGTCGCGGGACAATCGACGACCGCCGGCCGCGGGACTCCTCCCTCGCCCAGTTGAGCTGCACCACTGGACTCCAACATTGCAAGCCTATTGTATTTTTTTGGGTACATTTGCAAGCCTACTGTAGAAATATATGCATAAAGGAATTGAGATACGAATGTATAAACATTGTGGAATATGTATGAATTGTGTGGAATACATATGAAATTACAAAATTGACCTTCTGGTTAACACCAACTTAATGGATTAACAAACAGAGGATTATAGTGAGTAAAAATATAAAAGTCTGAGACTATATTAGGTCATCAAAGTCGTTTAGGACGAAATCGGATAAAACCACTATAGTCGAGGACTATTTTAAATATTAACTCATTATCATTCAAAGTAACTATTCCGTGACATGAAGGATCAAAAGAATCACTTTTAAAAGAAAATTAAATAATATATTATGATATTAAAAAGTAAAAGTTTTTTTTTTAATGATATTGTGATGCATAGAATCATAAAAATTAGTATAAGGAATAAGGTTCAAATTGGCCACCGAACGTAACCTGAAAATGCAATTAGGTCACTGAACAAAAAAAAAATTGCAATTAGATCACTGAACGTTCTAAAAAAGTGCAATTAGGCCACTGAACACTCCAAATGTATGCAATTTCACCGGATAGCAGGTTACCATCAATTTTAGCAAGTTACCTGCTTATGTGGTAGCTGAGTTTGCATTTTTAATAATTTTTAAATAATTTTATTAATAAAGTTGAAATAAAATAAAAACAAAATGACGGCGGCCACCCCGTCGTTTTTTTTAATTATTATTAAAATTTATTAAAAATTATTAAAAATGCCAACTCAACTGTCATGTAAGCAGGTAACCTGTTAAAATTGATGGATGACAGCAAGCAAGTAACCTGCTATCAGGTTACGTTTAGTGACCAATTTAAACCTTATTCCTTAGTCTAATGATAATGAGTAGTGATTCCGCAAGCAAGTAACCTGCTATCAGGTTACGTTTAGTGGCCAATTTAAACCTTATTCCTTAGTCTAATGATAATGAGTAGTGATTCCGTAATTTCCTGCTATCAGGTTACGTTTAGTGGCCAATTTGACCTTATTCCTTAATCTAATGATAATGAGTAGTGATTCCGTAATTTTTTGGACTAAAAGTTGTAAAAATTAAATATCAGAGCCAGGTTTCAATCCTGGGACCTGTGGGTTATGGGCCCACCACGCTTCCACTGCGCCACTCTGATGGTTGATATTTTCATGTTAATGGACTTCATAGTCGGTTAAAGTACTGTTCATTTTGGCGCACTGGGCCACACGGGTTATTTTGTAATGGATCTAGAACCCATCATCTTGCTAGGATAAAAAAGAAATACAGTAAAGTTTTCAATCGTTATACCCTACACCATGGCGCACATAGCACTGTACGCCGCGCGCCTCCCAAAACGATGTTGTTTTGGGATTGTTTTGGGAGACGCGGTAGGAAGTTGCTGGGATTATGTGTATTTGTTCATACAGTTATGTGTATTGGTTCATACAGTTATGTACATTTTTTATACAATTATGTACATCCGAATCAGAAAATTTGTGTGTATTATGTTAATAGTTGATGTGTATTATGTTAAAAGTTTATGTTTATTATGTATTATGTTAGATTATGTGTATTATCTTTTAAAAAGAGTATGTATATTTTGTTATATAATTACGTACATTCATGTATATAATTATGTGTATTCTAGTATAATATTATGTACATTCTTGAACAGCGGGTTTTTTTTAAAGAAAAAACTATTACCATTCACTGGGGCGAAAAATTTCAAAAAAAAATAAATTAAAACGACGTCGTTTTGCATCTAAGCACATAGTGCAACGTGCGCCATGGTGTAGGATATAAATTGCCAAAAGTTTTTATCAAGAATGGTACAAAGGGTGAAAGAGGAGAAAAATGGAGTGTTGCCGCAATGCGAGAATCCAACAGAGAGGACGAGTGGACCCCTGAGGGGTGATGTGCTACAGCATTGATTTTATCGAGATGGGAAACCTGCAGAAGGCTGCACAGTAGTGTTGATGTCTCGGTTTCAAGGCAGGGGTCAACATCCATGAGTTTACTAGAATTGAAACTTTATGGGAAAAATTTTGGGTGTGCTTGTTTCGCACATAGTAATTAGAATTGAAATGTGTATCAAATACTGGGTAATGATAATGAGTTTTAATAAACATATTTAACATGTTTGGTAATAGGGTGAAATGAGAATGGTTATTAATAATAATGCTTGAGAATGAAACTCTTATTTTATTTGGGTATTGATTTTTTGGGTATCGAAAATTCATAGTAGTGTTCTAAAAATCTATCAAACAAACAACAACAATCACTTTCATACTCATTTTTATAGACAAAACCCACCAACCAAACACACCCTTTGTTTTATCAGAGCCATCAAAATACTATTTTAGTATAAAAACTTGGAGCAATCTCCTTACAAAAAAGACATTAAATATTACACTAAAATAATGTAAATGAAGAATATTACACCATATTTCTTAATGCTGTAGAACTTTTAAAATTGTTTTTCAAATTGTTTTCTTTTAAAAATTTATATTATTACAAATAAATTATAAAAATTTAAAGATCTCATTGAAACATTTAAAACAGAATTAATATCAATTATAAAATAATTAAAAAATTAAAATACATAAAAACATAAATTTCATTTTAAAAATATTACTCTTTATTATTTATATCAAAAATATATTTTATACTACAATAATTAAAGTTAAAAATAAAATTTTAAAATATAAGAATACAAATTATTTTAGTACATGAATAGAATTTAGTGTAAATTTATTTAAGATGAAAAATTTTTGGTATACGAATATAAAATTTAGTGTTTTGAGTTAGAAATAGTCTACAAATTAAGAGATGGGATCAACCCAAATGAGTTAATGAGTAATTGGCTTAGTAATCACAATGTTTCAAGTTTGATTCTATTTGAGAGCGGCTTATTAAGCTTCTTAATCTGAGTCAGTCAATTATTGATAACCTAAACTAGTTTACCTCCTACAGGTCCTTCATTGTCTAACCTTTTGAGCGTTTTCAATCCTAGAGGTCAAGAAGTCAACATGCGGCTAGATTCATCTCCCACCTCCGCGATGTCTATTCAATGGCCACCTTAACCCAAATCACATTAAGAGCATCCACATCAAGGGAAGAATTGGGGGATAATGTCATATGCTTTCACTTGGGTGGGGTTAATAAAAAGTGTGGGGAAGAATTAATGTGGAGAAGAATTGGCCTCCAAAGGGGCTGGGAGAATGTCAAAAAAAAAAAAAAAGACCACATGTTGTCCGCGTTCGCGCACATCCAAATGCCACACGGGCGCGTCAGGAGCGTCTGACCCTACATTTTATATATATATATATATTTTTTTATAAAAAAAAAACAGTTTTGTTTTGTTTTTTTTTTTTCTTTTTTTCTCTCCCCTCTCACATTTTCTTTCCTAATCACTCTTACAATAGTCCCATATTATTCCCAACTGATAATGATGCTCTAAGGCTAACCACATTAGTGATTTTTTTCACACTTTTTTAGGCAAATAAGACTTAGGTGCATGAGAGAGAATTTTTGAGATCTTCCTGCAATGGGGTGTTTTTTTGTGAGACTCTCAGGAGAGAGAAAAGGGAAGGGAAAGGCGATTGTGTGTGCGTGCAACAGCACGCGCCCACTCAAAACTCTTTTTTTTTAGTTGCATCAGATTTGTTCTTTTTAATTTTTTTTTTCCTCTTCTCTTTCTCTCTTCTCTTTCCTAGTTGGCACCTCAAAAACTAACCCAAAAACCTCGCTATTGAGATTGCCCTAAGAGCATCCATAATAGTGGTTTTTGTAAGTGTGATTAGGAAAAAGAATATGAGAAAGGAGAGGAAAAAGGGGGAAAAAAAACAAGCAAAATTGATTTTTTTTTTTAAATAATAATAATAATAAAACACTGTCAGGCGCGTCAGCGCAGCGCATGCAGTGTGGTCAATTGCTGTGCGCGCAACGCGCACAACCTCAAGGCTTAAAACCTTTTCCTCTTACGCATGCACTATTCCAAAATCCTCATTCGCAAATGAACGAATTTCTTATCTCTCTTATCTTCTTTCTCCAATTTGTCAGATGTTACTGTTCCAAAATCCCTTCACTGATAAGGGTGCTCTAAAGCCAACACTTGAACAATAGTCACCTAAATCCAAATCACATAAAAGCGAACACTTGAACAGCACATCTGTTGTGTCAACGGAATTTCAGCATGTGTCTCCTCTTTCAAGACTCAACTATATTTTTAGGCCTAAATAGAAGTTTCCAACCTCATTATTTATTATCATATGGTATACTAAAGTCTTGCTATTAATAAGATCATTTTTTTTTCCTATCCATTTCCATAATATCAAATCTATGCATTTATATAGCATATAGCCTCTAAATTATTTACACTATTAAGGTTCAATTGGTCAAACAATCAATTTTTTTAATTACTTCTTAAATTTCAAATTTCTTTATAATCTTATTTCAAATATATTCAAAGTTTCAAATACTGTGTGTATAAAATTTTAAAAAAAAATAATTTTAGGTTCAAAACTAGAACCGTCAAACTGTTCTATACTAGATCCAATAAATCATGCACTTAAACTTGATCCTAATAGGTTTCGGTTTCCATTCTGAACCTCATAACCGTTTGTAGTTTTGTACACTTTCAATTAACATTTGATTTATACCGTGCATGTTTCGATTAGAATTGAACCCTGACCATGCCTATCAAAGCTGTAGGTTGAACAAATGGATACTCAAAATATTTGCAAATTTGCACAATCTATCAATTAGCATTTTAGTAGCATGATAATCTGGCATGGTTTAATTTTCTCCAAAAATAAAAAATAAAATTGCATTTATATAGAGTTAGGATCCTCACCGGTTCAATTAGCATCATCTTGCTTAGTGCCGTCTTCCTCATTACTACCATCTGGATATTCTCTGGGCTGCAATATCTCAGGTTTTGCAGGTCCAGGACCAGCGGACGTCTTAACCATTTACAGGCGCAGAATCTGTCTCCAAGCTTGAAAACCTTGTGAAGTTCTGCTATTATGACACCTTCAAATTCTACTGAATCCTCATGCATTATAGCTTCATGCAGCTGACAATTCAAAAGGAATAGTATATCAGAAAGATGCTGAGAGCGAAGAAGATTGGAAATTTCTTTAATGTTTTGCATTAATGGTGACAAACCATACTGTAATTGAACTTTGAGGCAGGATAAGAGGTAAACTTTTGTTATAGTACTAGACTAGATGAATGTATGCATAATAACTCACCGAGTTGGTTCAGAGCCTCAGATCAGTGGAGATATAAACAGCACATGAAATGATGTTCAGGTCTTCATAAAACCTGAACAAACTTTTTGTAGCTTCTCAAAAGATTTTTCAATCATTTGACGGAACTTTGAGCCAACTTGGAATCTTGCCTGCATTGAGCCAATTATGAAAAATAAGAGAATAACTACATATATCAATGAATCAATTCCACTTTTGGTCTCACTATGGTAGGGGCATATATCTACTTTAAGTCATCCTCAAAAGACAAAAATAACCGTTTGGGTTTGAACCTCACTTAATTGTGCATTTGTGCCATTGCAACTTTTGGTCTTTCGTCGAAGAATTTTTTTGTTTACTGTCAAAGTAAACCATCAAGTCATCAAGCCAATCTTTTGGTCCTCAGTCAAAGAAATCATTTGTTTACTATCAAAGTAAACCATCAAGTCATAAACTACCCGAACAACAAACAAATGATTGACGGAGGACAATAGTGGCACATCCATGATAAGTGATGACCAAAGTACGGCGTTTTTTTTACAAAGATTAAAAGTGAAAATGTCATTATGATAGTAGAATTAATTCTATATAAGATGGTAGCTTAAGCACTTGTGCTGATATTTTATTGTATTTGGATAAGCTTAAGGATACCGGCTACAGCTTATATATAGAAATAAGCTCGGAACAACTTTTCAAAGACCAGTTAAAAACTAAAATGCTAAATTTATATAAGCTACTATGAACTCATTGAATATGCTCATCTTAAAAGTGCAGATTCAGGAAAAACTTACCAATGGATTCGCAGGATTTGCAGTTGTCTCCACAGGGGTAACACCAAGAGATCCTAGAATTTCCACAAACTGTTTATAGATGCTCTGATAGCTGTTACTGATTTTCTCCTCTCCCTCACTCCCAACTTCAATTTGGGCTTTTGCTCTCTCAAAGCTATCCAACATAGGTAAAAGTTTCTCAATGACTTCCCCTTGCGCAGTTGTTACCAAAGAAAGCCACTCTCTCTCTGTCCTCTTGCGGAAACTGGCAAAGTCAGCGCTGATTCTAAGTACGCATGCCTTCTCAGATGAGATCAGTTGAGTTAATGTCCGTATCTCTCTCTCAAGATTGATTTTCTCATCCTCTAAGGATTTCAGATAAGCCTCTACCTCTGCAACTTTTGACCCATCATTATTAGCCAGAGCCTCTCTATATAATCGCAACATATTCATAAGAGTTGAAGCAGTTTCCTCTACAGATGCATTCTCAACCTCATTTGAAGTATCAGCATCATCATGAGCACCCCCTATATTTTCCTGTTCAAATTTGGTAATAAATATTAATCATAAAATATTCCTTTGCCTGCACAATATAAAACTGAACACTTGAACCAAAAGATTTTAAAACAACTCAGACAAAGCAGGCATTCACAGTAAAATGGAAAATAATAATAATTATTTTAAAAGAAAAAGACATCCCATAAATCACTGCATAGTGCATACATGTGTCCTCCCATAGATATGCATATTACAGGCCTTTCCAAAAACATCTTTAAGGACCCCCCAAAAAAAAACAAAAACAAAACACTGTAATTGATCTGTAGCATTCAGTGGGCACATCATATATCAAGCTGAATAAGGACACTATTGATGAAAGGTATAAATCATTCTGAAGTAAAAGTAGCAAGAGGAAAACCGAATAAGGAAACTATTGATGAAAGGTATATATATCAAGCTGAAGTAGCAGTAGCAAAAGGAAAACCTGAATAAGGAAATTATTGATGAAAGGTATATATCAAGCTGAAGTAGCACTAGCAAATGGAAAACCTGAAAAAGGAAGCTATTGATGAAAAAAGATCAGTAATAAAGAATGCTAGAGTAGCCCTACCCCCTTTCAACATGTCAGAACAAAATAGAAAATAGAGGTAAATATATCGGCTTCATCGAATAGATCAAACTACTATTTTCATCACTCTCCATTTAAAGTTCCACCATTGAGTGATTTGGGTTCATAATAATCCATTTACTAACGGAAGAAATTCTTAATTACTGAAAACAGATAATGCATTTATTTAACATTTCTCGAATGCAACAACAGAGAAAATGAAAATTGAAAATTTGAAGTAATCACATCACTGTTTGAATTAAAAAGTAATTCCCTCAATTATAGCAATGTTTACACTAAAGCAACCACACAAGCCATTTCAGTATGATATATGTAGAACATGCTCTAAAATAAGCGTAGAGGGACATTGAAGAGAGAATATCAAGTACAATTAATAATCTCAGCTAAGCACATTTAGGAATGGCAAATCCCACACTTAGTCATCTTAAATCGTTGTCTCATTATTTTCTACTGTTACAATTTCATTGCCATCTTATTCAATTTTTAATTATCGAAATTTCAAATCAGCTTCTCTCTGTGCACACAACACAAAATGCATTTCACTAGTCCAGTTGCAAAGTTAAAGCAACTTAGAACTTAGTACTACCAGTATCATATCAATTCAGGACAAAACACAGACGAACATAGAAAAATCAATACAGCGTCAATGCTGTTCCACATTGCATAAACGGTAAAATTACCATGAACTAAGTGCGTTTATACACAATGTAAAGCTGTATAGACCATATTTACTATAAAGTACCTCTAGCTCAGAGTCTCGCACATATTCTTCGGTCTCGGTTTGAGCTGTCTCCGTGGCTTCTCCATCTGAAGCAGAGAGCACGAACTGCCCAACTGAGCGACTGCGAGGCGGTCGAATTGCGAGGTTTGGAGGGCGATGATTGATCCGACACTGTATCGGGAGGCATGAGGAAGTTCGCATTCGTCTGCCATTGCGCGAGATGGATACAGGAGAAGATACTTTATGCGATAAAGCGGATGAGCTCACCGTCGCGCTAAGGGAAGCGGACGGTGGCGCCCTCAAGACGGCGGCCGTCTTTAGAACAGCGGTCGCCATTTAACGAAGACGGAAATACTTCGTAATGGATAAAACAGGGGCGGATGCGAAGCGAGCGGGTAAGGGGGAAGCAAATATGGAACGTATTTATTGAATTGAAAATCTTTCGGACAATAAAAGTATTAAAAGAAACAAAAAAAACAAAACAACAACAACAATCATTAAATACAAATTCGCAAAGATATATACAATATAAATTTTATCGTATAATTTTAGCTTGTAAATGACTACAATAACATATCTGATTGAGGAAAATATGTTACCTGATAATATATTAGGAAAACGGTAATGAATAAAATAATAATGTTATGTGTTTTGAGTACAAAAATCATAATGTCTCCCTACTTGTTACATAGGCTCTACTTTATATTGTATAATCGTAACGACTACAATAATGTGCACATTCTAATAAGTGCAATCGCTCTCCTCTATAAGTGTCGGGTCTTCTCAGTAATTGTTGTGCGCTCTTTTTCGTAATTGCTCATTGATGAATGATGAGGCGGTATTGAACTCTAAGAATCGTTCCACCTCTTCCTACTTCATTCTTCACCGTTTCCAACTGACCGTGTTGATTGCTTTGACTACTGCATGTCAATTTATGTATACTTCGGGTCAAATCTAGTACTTTGTCTAATTATCATGTCTCCAGTGAAAAAAATAGATGAGTTAATACCTAATTTGGTCCCTTGACTATTAGGATTTCACAGATTTGGTCATTAACTACCAAAGTTGCTCAATTTAGTCCTTAACTATGTAATTTTTACTTAAAATGGTCCCTCAGCTATTAAGATTTCACCACTTTGGTCCTCGACTATCAAAGTTGTTCAATTTAGTCCCCAACTATGTAAATGTTAACCTGAAATGTAAGTTTAGTGTGGATTTGGGGACCTTTTTAGAGAGTCGAGGATCAAAGTGGTGAAATCCTAATAATTGAGGGACCATTTTAGGTAAAAATTGCATAAGTAGGGACTAAATTGAGCAATTTTGGTAGTCGATGACAAAAGTGGTGAAATCATAATAGTCAAAGGACCATTTTAGATAATAAAAAAATTACATAATTAGAGACTAAATTGAACAACTTTGATAGTCGAGGACCAAATTGGTGAAATTCTAATAGTTAAGGGACCAAATTGGGTATTAACTCAAAAGAGATACTATATTTAAGAAAGTCAAATATGCATCAAATTCACTATTAATAAATGTAAATTGGATTTGAACAAATTTGACAAATCTACTAATCTTCCTATTTTTAACATCTTAACTATAATATAGCCATATGGTTTGGTGAGCAATTATTGTACCAATAATTGCTCACCAAACCATATGGTTATATTATAGTTAAGTTTTATTTATTTATATGTATTACATGGTGCATAAAAATTTAAATTAACCTTAAGTTATTTTCATCTCTCTTGCCTCATCCAATTCATTTAAAAACTCACAAATAAACTTCAATTGAGATTATTCTAATGAGGTCAATCTTAAAAATTTAGTACATAGTATTTAATATTACAAATTTTCAAGAACTTAGTAAACTACAATAGTAATTGAATTACAATTTTCAGAATCACCACGGATCAAAATTTTTAGACATTTGAGATTTTTAACAATTTTCAGAGTCACCACGGATCAAAATTTTTAGACCTAAAAATTTCTAGAAATCTCAAAAGTCTAAAAATTTTGATCCGTGGTGACTCTGAAAATTGTAATTCAATTACTATTGTAGTTTACTAAGTTCAATTCTTAAAAATCTGTAATATTAAATACTATGTACTAAATTTTTAATATAATTTAAGATTTGTAGTAATCACCCACCTTAAATACCAATTCTTATTTTAATTGTAAATATATTTATGTTCATAATTTTATCATAGCAATTCGCACATAATTATTAAATAACAAAATTTTTATATATTAATAAACCTCATATATGGTATATTTTTATAACATATTTTCCGTGCATCGCATGGGACAAATACTAGTGAAATAAATATATTGCACTAGGTGCAACATTTAGAGAATTATATATGGGCCCAAATCCAGTGCGGACATATCTTAAGATGCTGTTTGTGCGGTTGTACCATTAGGCATACAAATTCGCACAAATAGTGTTAGGAAATGTATAATAAAAAATGCACCAATGCACTAAAAAGTACCGCCAGGCATATATGACTACAAAACACACCATTAGGTATGCATAAATGCACCACACAGTGTTTAGAAACACACATTTAGGTGTAGGAAGGTATAATGCATTTTTTTTAAGTGTGTAGTGCGTTTTGTGATGCATTTGTGCATTTTATTGATGTGCATTTTCTAACACGATTGATGCGTTTTTTACATACCTAATAGTACAATCGCATGTTAAAGCATGATCGCATTTGAGCTGACATCAATTATATATGCACAAATTTTCATATATAGGTAAATACAACTTTTTTTTTTTTTTTAAGTTCAAATTGACCACTGAACGTCATCTAAAAATGCAATTAGGCCACTGAACGAAAAAAAGTGCAATTAGGCCACTGAACACTCCAAATGTATGCAATTTTACCTAATTGCAGATTACCATCAATTTTAGCAGGTTACTTGCTTACGTGGCAGATGAGTTGGCATTTTTAATAATTTTTAAATACTTTTTAATAAACTTTAATAATAAATTTTTAAAAAATGTAATTTTTTTAAAGAAAATGACGGGGTTAATTTTTTGTATAATTTTTTTAAAATCTATTATTAAAATTATTTAAAAATTATTTAAAATGCCACTTCAACTGCCACGTAAGCAAGTAACCTGCTAAAATTGATGGTAACCTGTTATCCGGTGAAATTGCATACATTTGGAGTGTTCAATGACCTAATTGCACGTTTTTGGAGTGTTCAATGGCCTAATTACATTTTTTTTCGTTCAGTGGCGTAATTACATTTTCAGGTTACGTTCAGTGGCCAATTTGAACCTTATTCCTTTTTTTTTTTTTTGTAACTTCTTATGTATTTGTCGTTACATGTACCATAACAATAATGTCAATCTGTATAATGTGATAAAATTACATGAATATTAATATATTACTATATAGTATTAATATTGGTTAATTTTACTAATTATGTAATATATTCTTTTTTTTTTTAAAAAAAAAAATTTGAAATTTAGTCATCAACTTCTAAAATTGTTCAAAATTAGTCATTGGCAGTAAGAGTTTTGATCGAGTGAGGCCTGACTGCCCCATGTGACAGTACAGTCAATTATAGGCCTTAGATTAGATCATCCAGGGAATCACATTCCTCAAGACTCCTTCTCCAAGATTGGTGCGCATGATCTCCAACCACGCGAACTGCAAAGGTAAATTCGTCATCTCAGTAGACTTCAAAGACTTCTCCATTACGAACCCCAACCCAACGCACAATCGAATGCAATTTCAAAATCTCCATTCACAATCGCAACTCTAGGCGAAACGACGACGAACACAACCCCAACCCAACGCACAATTGCAAAACTAATAATGCATATTTTCACCCAGTTTTTAAAGCACAATAGATAGTCAAAATATGCACCATTATTTAACAAACAAAAAAAAAATATTAGTGCGCAACTGTTAAACTCATTTTAAGATTTAGATCTCATTGTGTAAAAGCACAATAGAACTACAATAAATGCACAACTATGTATACACATATGCCCTAGAGTTTGAATAATAATACACATTTTCACCCAGTATTTAAAGCACAACCGATAGTCAAATTATGCACCATTTTTTAACTAAAAAAACACCATTAGTTTTTAGAAATGCACAACTGTCAAACTCATTTTAAGATTTATCTCTCATTGTGTAAAAGCATAATAGGATTACAATAAATGCACAACTATATATACACTCATATGCCCTAGAGTATGAATAATGCACATTTTCACCCAGTATTAAAAGCACAACAGATAGTTAATTTTTGCACCATTATTTAACTAAAAAACACTAGTAGTGTTCAAAAATGCACAATTGTCAATTACCAAAATCAACGAACTTAAGAATACATGCACGTGAACAGAAATAAAATTACCAAAACACCCCAACTTAATAAACGTAAAGTATAATTTCCAAATATCAAAACTCTATTGAGCGCAATTGGATGCAAATATTTGGACGATGCAGATTAGGTCACGCGATTACATGACAACTAATGACCGCGTATGAGCTCATTTCATAAGAAACTTATACAATAATGATTAGTATACATCGATTATTTTATAAGTACAACTATATATATTATTTGAATTATAGAGAATATTATTAATACTTATCGATGTGATACTTGATATCAACAGACAAATCATATATAATTGGATTTAGTATACAAAATATCGGTATTGACTATTGATTAAAGCAGTCTAAATTTTCACATATTATAATCTAAAAACTACTACGGAGTTCTAATTAATACAAATATATAAAAAATTGTATGCAACACGATGCATGCAGTTTGTAGTGAAATGGTATCCTTTTCATTAATAAAAGAGAGCTAGATTTAATTTAAATTAAAAAAAAAAAAAAAGTCACCAGGTTCAATTGGAAATTGACTAAAGTCACTTATATACAACAATTCTTTTTCTTAGATAACAACAATTACGATTGACATTTTAATTTTGATTACAAAATCTCAACTAATATTCACAGGTCTTATTTTATGTATATGATTTGGATGTTGGTTTACAGGGCATTTGGTTGGATGGATTTTAAATTCCATTCCCACTTAATTCTCACATAATTCCAAATGCCATTAAATTCCATAGTTTGGTTGGAGGGAATTGCAATTCCTCCATTTTCATGGAATTAAAATCTCATGTCCCCCTCTGGTATTTTAATTCCTGGGAAAAAAAGATAGTGATGAGTCAAAATTACCCCTTTCTTTTTTAACCTAAAATTACTGTCTAACAACAATAATGGACATTTTTGACTTTATACTACTTATTCCCTTTTAATTCCTATGTATACCAAACATTGGAATTGAAATTTCCAGTAATTTTATTCCTATCCACCAAACACTGGAATTTAAATTCCCACTTTATTCCCAGTAATTCAACTCCCATGAAATTACAATTCATTTCCCACATAATTTCCCCCCTCCAACCAAACGTCCTGTTAGTGTGCGATAATGCAATACTACAAATAATTTGAACTAAACTTAAGACAATTATTTAAGTTAATAATAGTAAATAAATTATTTATATTTTATAAATATTATAATAATTATAGAATTGATCTCGATTTTTTCTGAAACACCAAAGTGCGGCAGTATATCTATGAACGAAATTAGTCAAATTACTGTTGAAAAAGGCTTTGGATAGAAATTGAGTATTTTGATATTCACAAAATTTCAACTTGCGAATTTAACGAAGAGAATAGGATTGAACCACGTCTCGTCGTTCTTCGATCAATGATTACAGTCCGTATAACAACACAGCGTAAAGAGCCCAGCAGCTTCACACTGTAAATGCCGATAATCCAAAAAGCAACTCGAAATTGAAATCAAAAGGCGGATTTGCATACAGAGAAATAGATATATATTTATTTTATATATATATATATACGGAGAGAGAGAGAGAGAGAGAGAGAGAGAGAGAGAGAGAAGTGAGCTTCTCTTACTCTTTCAATTTCAAAAACCTAAAATCACAAGTTCACAGTCAATCTCTTTCTCCGTGTATGTTATATTTACGTGTTTGTATTAGTATTCCGTTTATCAGATTTGAGTTTCGGTTTACTGTTTCTGGAGCAAATTCATTCGCTTCTTCCGGGACGATAAGCGTCAGAATTGACTTAGTGAGGGCGAGGAGCGAAGATGAGCAGCAGAAGGGAAGAAGAGCGGAACGAGAAGATAATCCGGGGGCTCATGAAACTCCCTCCCAATCGCCGATGCATTAACTGCGACAGCTTGGTACGCCGCCATTACTTTGTTCATCTTCTTTCACTCGTTTGCACTGAGTATTCAGTTTCATTCATTTCTAAGCACCGTGATCTCGATTTCATCCGAGTAGAGCTTAGAAATTCTCGTAATTTTGTACTTCTATTGTACTCCTGTTCGAATTCTACTTTACGAGTTCACTTTTTCAGTTACTAGTGTGTGATTTCTGCTCTTCTCGATGTAATATGTAAATGTTTCAGATTCAATGGCGAGGGTGAAAAATATAGAAAATTATTGGTCTGGCTATTATGTGTTTCTACTTCCCTTAGTTGTATTGATTGCTTTAGTACCACCGTTATTCTCTAACTGCTGGTGTTTGGTACTTGTAGGGACCCCAGTATGTCTGTACAAACTTCTGGACTTTTGTTTGTATGACTTGCAGTGGAATACAGTAAGTGATTATGAGTTCCCCATAAGTGATTTATAGGTTATGATGATATGGCTCCTAATTTATTACCTTAGGTAGTTAGGTACTTGGGTGCCAGGCCAGCTGCATTATTTGTTGTGTTTTTAAGTTTGATGCTTAATTTGTTTGGTCCTGCATTTAAAGAAAGAAAATTAATTTATACGGAGTAGCATACCTGCATTTATAATGCCATTTTTTGGGGGTTAATTGTAGATTCTGTACTTCTGTGTATTGCTACATCCATTGTCAGTGCATGGCAGGCTATTGTTGAACAATTTAAACTTATATAAAGAAAATTTGAAATTGAGATTTTCTCAAGCCTTTTAAAATCTTTTATGTTTAATTTGGTTGTCTTTCCTCACCATTCACTTCTGCGTAAATTTTCTGGTTTTGACACAAACTTTCTGTTGGAGTATCATTCATTGCATCATTGAATAACTAATAAACTTTGGATTTTCAAAGATACTCATTATTTGCAAATCCCAATAAAGACTTTTTCATCAGTTTTATTGATGGAAAGATTTGAACTTGCAAATTTACTACTCACTGCAGTCTCATCCTAAAGTATAAAGTGGACAGAGGCACATGACATAGAAATCCTTCATTTATCCTGAAGTGTGAACAACAATAGCTTGGTTAGGTTATCATGTGTCAGTGAGACTTGAAAAATGATGGTGTGACACTGTTATTCCTCAAGTTTTAAGCTTCATTTTTTAAAAATTGTTTTTCCATTGGTACTTAAATTGTATTCAGTTGCACCATAACAATCCTTCAGGATATCCAGTTTTTCCTTATTATTTATCTTAATTTGTATTTTGTTGCAGCCGTGAGTTTACTCATCGTGTGAAGTCTGTGTCCATGGCTAAATTTACTTCCCAAGAAGTTGAATCTCTTCAAAATGGTGGTAATCAGGTACACGGATCTGAATGTGTTCCCCATCATTAGGCCACAGAATCAATCTAATGTTTTACTTTTTCAGCGTGCAAGGGAGACATATCTGAAAAACTGGGACCCACAAAGGCAAAGGTTACCTGATAACAGGTATCTAAATCTCTCTGCTCTGACGTGTCAAAGAAATTTCAGATTCAAAACATGTTATTTGACTGTATTTATCTTGCAGTAATGTTGATAAAGTCCGAGAATTTATAAAGAATGTTTATGTGGATAAACGATATGCTGGAGCACAGTCGACGGATAGACCTCCAAGGGGTACACAAGTAACATTCCTGAACCTGTATCTTGAGTGCAGACTACTCAAGCTTTTATATTTGTTTCTGTGACTTCTATTCTAGCTTTTTCACGCTCTTTCCCAACTAAAGGGCTGAATATGGCTTTACTTGCCAGAACTTTAGAGGCCATGTAGATGAGACGAGACGGGCAAGTTCGTATCATTCTTATTCTCAAAGTCCACCATATGATTTCCAGTATGAAGAGCGGCTTTATGGAAAACATGGTCCTGTTCTTACAAGAAAGCCTGGTTCAGATAGAGGTCTTTATGAAGGAAAATTCTCTAGCTTCTCAAGTCCTAGTCATTTGAGTGACCAAGCGTATGAGGACAGGTTTGCAAATGAAGGTTCTAATCCCAGAGCTTCTGATTTTTCTGTGTCTAGTGGAGGTGATCCATTCAGATCTGAGGGGCAGTCACCAAACTACCAAAGAGACACTGGTTTTCCTGGCCGTCCACAGGTTAATATTCTTTATATTTGTGATTTAAAATTGAATCTCTTAGCAACCATCATTTAAATTGTTTTCCTTCAATTGCTTGTTGTAATGGCATCTTATTGGTGGTCAGATAGATTAATATTTGATGGAAAAGGAATGATAATGATCCTATAACAATGAAGATTTTTGCAACTGACTTATGCAATCAAAAGAAACCCTTTCATATAAAAGTAATATTCTGTTTCTCCCAATTTAAATGGACATATTTTGCTTACATGCATTTTTAGACAAATATTGATTTAACTTTTGCTTAGTGTTCTATATTGATGTGGCTTCCATCTGTGCATGTTGGGTTTTGGTCCTTTTGGAAGTTTGTTGATGAGGGGACAAGGGTTAACAACTAACATGCATTCTAGGTTTTGGTTGAAATTAAATAAATAAACATTGAAGTTACTAATATAGGAAAGCAGATGTTTGAATTGAGACAAAAGGACTAGGCTGAACCGCTGAACATCTAGTTTGGATTATGGGTTTTGGTTGAAATACAGTTGTTGTGTTTACTTCAATTCTTTATTTTCCATTCTCCATTTTCTGTTTTCCAAATGTACAGGTAAGAGACTCTGTTTTTCTTTCTCCATAAAAAAGAAGAATTTCTCTAGTCAGTGAACACACCTTATTATAAACAACAAAGTTCCTAATAAGGGAAAGTAGACTGAACTGATACAAAGTTACTAGGTTTTATAAACTGGCATTTCTTTGTTGGAAATACTGCTATTTGTAAGACGAATGATGTTTCTTCATTTTAATGTCCCTTAAAACTGATGCATTAATATGCTTATTTCAGAGAACTGCGTCATTAGGAAGCTTTGGATCATTAGAGAACTCCTTGTCTATCAATTCATCAAGTTCTTTTGATTTAATTGATGCTGGTTCAGAGCCTGAACAATCAGTCAAGACCCACCACAACAAATTGTCACCTTTGCCTTCTTTGCCTCGCTCATCAGTAGACTTATCCAGTGCTCCTGCAACTTCACAAACTATTCCTTCAGTCTCAAATATAGCTCATTTGACAGAGACATCGGTGACTTCCTCACTTGATTTGTTTCAGCATTCTCCTATATCTACCAATCAAACTCCTGGTTCACATCAAATGCCACAAGCTCCTGCTTCAGGTTTGGATTTATTCCCGGAGGTGCCTACCCAGCAATCAGCTGCGCCATCTGGTGACAGCACCTTGAAAAATGAGGGGTGGGCAACATTTGACATGCCTCAGCACACAGCTCCAGCGGGAAGTGAGGAGTTTACACAATTGACAACTCTTTTTCCTGATGCTAACTCATTAAACCTTTTCTCCGGGATGCCGCAACAGCAGTCAGATGCATTATCCAACAAAAGTTCATCAGATGCTGTTATCCACAAGAATGATGGATGGGCAGCATTTGACATGCCACAGCACACAACAACAATTGGCGCTGATACTTCTTTAGGAAATTATAGCCCGCTTTTGTCTCTCCTGCAAGGCCCATCTGTCCAAGGTTCTACCCTTAATGGGCTATCCTTTCCTTACTCTGACGCTCAAGGAGCATATTCATCGATGCCTGCTCCATTGCATGAAGGCAACCAAAATGCTGAAGCAACCCCAAGTGGCAGCTCTGAGGCAAGTGGTTTTAATTCAAACAGAATGATGAAAATTGAGTGGCATTTCTGCTTAAAACTGATATCTTCTTTTCTGTAGCAGACATGATTTTTGTGTGTTAGTGAAACATGAGCTTGATAACCCTTTTGTGCAGCAATGGAAAGCATTTGAAAATTCCAGTGATTGCTTAGCATCACTGACTGCTCAAAGTAGCGACCAACAAGTTTTTACAGACCATCATCCTGTTACTGATCAATATACGGGATTAAGAGGATTAGAGGTAGTTAAATCTTCTTCTACTACTGCTAACATATTTTTTGGTTATTGTATTTCTAATGAACTTGTATTTTGCAGAATTTTGCTAATGATGAAATTCAAACAGCTGCAGTGGGAGGTGGCCATCAAATTTCTAGCATATCATCATATGTAGGTTACTTTTTTGCTTTTTAAATGTTTTGCTAGTTTAATTTGGGCACTCATTTTTCTCAAGGAGTTCCATTACTTGTTTTTTCATCTTCTATTTTGACATTAAGTTGCTCACTTATAGGTGGGAGAACATGAACTTGAAAATAACAAATCTACCAATCCATTTGACCTCCCGTATGAATCTGATATGGAAACCAACAATATGGTATGTTTTCTTTCCCTGTTCTGTTGCATCTTATGTGGACCGTTGACAATGACATCTATATCGGGCAACAAGCTGAAATCAGGAAAACCGAGTTGATTACTTGATTTCATGTCTTTTAATTTAAACATTTTATTTGTTCCAAAAATTCTTCGTTCAATGGAGAACATAAGCCACAGTTGCACTTTACTGGACCGTTTTGCTTGACATTCTATATACCAAGTCATAAAATGAATACGTTAAAAGTTATTAAAGTTCCAACCTGTATGATAGAAACATGAGCTAGACTTTCTAGTTTCTACAAGTGATCAGCAGTTACGGTAAAAAAAAAAAAAAAAACTATGCAGTTTTTACATTCAATGTTTTTTAGGTTTTCAACTTTACCAGATGGCGTTTCTGATATCTTAAGTAACGAGTCTTTATTAGTTGAGGCAAACTATTAAGTTTCTATATTGTATTACAAACATTGATAATATATTCTGAAGAACATATTCTCCCCCATCCCATTCTTATTGGGAAATAATTGGGTTGATCAAATTTATGGCCCCACATGTGGGCTATCACTATTTATAAGGCTGTTAATTTAAAAGGTAGTCTTTTAACAGTTAATAGATAGTGAAGCAGATGAATCTCATTCGTGTGGTCCACAGGTGAGCTATGAATCCAGTTTATGCTAGTAATTTACTTATCTTCGTCACAATTTAGTTTCCAAGGATTAACCAAATTGACCACTTATTTAAGCATGTTTAGAATTTTGAAATTACATTTCTTAAAGCTAATAGCACTTCTGAGTTCTATTTTGAAAATTTGAATTTATTAGGCAGGTTGAAGTGTGGTCAAATTTCGAAATGCCTTGAAGTATGCAAGCTCATCTTGAACTTGAATGAAAATATGAAATGTTTTTATCAATATATTTTTAAAAAATTGAAAAAAAATATTAAAGTAAAATTTTTTTAAAAAATATTTTTAAAAGATAGATTGGCCAAATGGGCAGGCTGTTGTCTTCTGAACTCAGCACCTATAAACTTGACCTTAGCTTGACTGCTTGAGTTCAGTTGATATTGAGCTAAGCTAAGCGCCGAGAGTGTTGATCTGGATTAGTTTGCAACCTGGGCTCACACTTGCATGAGTTAAGTCCTTAGTAGTCACCTGATAATTGTTGTTGAGAAGACCAGAGATGTCCTATACCAAAGCTCTATGTTTTTAGGGGAAAAAGAAGAGAAAAGAAACTAGTATTTTGAATTGCCTTATGCTTAGATTTCCATCTGGGTCTTGTTCTACCAGCGTATATTTTGGTACATGGCACATCATATTATGAGTTGCATATTGTCTATATATTACTTGGACTCAACTATCTATGTCAATATTCAAACAAGGTGACAGTTCTATGGAAGGTATTCCTGATTTCGAGTGTATTTTGGGGATTGTTTGTGTCACCCATTCCCAATAAATCAGTGCCCAAATTTGTGTAAAATGAATGAGTCTGGGTAACATAGCATTTTTGTGTAATTGAAAATGCATTTTCTTTCGCACTTAGCCTCATTTCTGGGACATGAGCTCGTTACAAGCTGCATTGCCAAATGGAGAGTTGCCAACTTCCTTTGTTGGTGATGTGAGCGGGCCTTGGTTTTCACAGGATTCAGTTGCATCTTATGTTCCTGCTGGATCAGAAGGTATTGAGTAATACTACACACTCTACATTACTCATTAAGCTTTCAACTCCTTTTTCACCTTCCCTATGACTTCTTACTGCAGCCACCTTGGGATTCATTTCAGCACAACCTACAGGCAACCCTATATCGTAAGTTCACCCTTATAAAATGTGATTGCATAAATATCTGTGGACTTCATTATCAAGAACATATTTTCTTCGTCTATACTTTATCTTTGTAAGTATGGATTTGCCTCGAGCATAAAGTAGGAAATTTAGTTATCTGATCCTTTGCGTTCTTGAATATGTTTTAGTAACTAATACCGGGGGAATCTAGAATGGCTAGAAACCCAACCAAGAGTGCTGTTAGTTTCAACATTACAATTGACAAATTGCTAAGCAAAGCTGCATTAAGGAACTAGAAAGGCTGTCTATTCCTCCTTTTGGGCTCTTACATCATGTATGCATGTTAATGACCTGTGATGAGTTAGGATACTTCTCTTAGCTTGTTTAGTGTATTATTTTGCTTGAAGAAGTATATGCTATCTCAAGGTTTGTGAGCCGAGCCTAGGTATGAGTTATTATGTTCAAATGTTCAATCTATATTTCCCTCAGATGTATCAAAAAACAAATATGATATATCTGTGGAACATCATAGGATATAAGTAAAAAATGTGCAATCCAACTATTAGCTAAAGCTTTTAGTTGAAACGGAATACATCCTTCAATTTGGTATCAAAGCCAACCTTATGCCAAGGTCATGGCTTTGAATTTCCAAGATTGTGTCTACGTGTAGCTTAGCCCATCAAAAAGTAATTGGTCCTTTTAGTTGAGACGGAACACATTCTTTAATTCTCCATATTCTATTCATTCTAAATGTACAAGTAAATTGTTTTCCATTTGTTCATAAATATAAAGAATTTCTCCGGTTACTAATAAAGCGGTGGAAGTATCATTGCATTTTCAATGAACACACTTACATTAATTGATCAGCTTTCCAATTTGTTCATTGGATGATGCAGGAAAGTTCCAACACAAGGGCCTGTTGCTCCAGTTGGTGGAAATCCTTTCGCATGAAGATTTTCTCTGCCACCGTTAGATTTTTATTTTGTACTATCAGAATTGGGGATAGGTTTCTATTTCTCAAGTATGGGATTTTCAGTTTGTATTATTTTTGTGAAATAAGACGCTGTCTAGATATTTTATCTCATATATCTGTGTTGCATTCTTGTACTGTTTTATCAAGAATTGAGATACTGTGTTGTACAACACTTATCCAAATGCCTTTGGTTCCTTTTCAAACTTATGTGTTTTTCAATTTTTTCCTCTTTATTTTAAGAACAAGCTGATATACTTACACAACATTTTCTATTATCCATTGACTAGGGATAGGAATGGGTGGTTGGGTGGATTAACCATGACTCAGATGGATGTTTTAAAAATCATATTATTCCACTGGATGCGGGTATTTATTATTATTTTTAAATAATAAAAATATTACACATAATAAAATTCATTAGATATACTAAAACATAAAGTAATAAAATAATTAAATTATTTAAAAATGAATATATTACTAAAATTAATAAATATACTAATACTCACTCCAAAAAAAAAAAAAAAAAAAAAAAAAAGGACCCATGCAGAGTGAATTTAGGTAAACGATTGAAATTGTTATCTTAAGTGACTCAATAAATCTTGTTGTGAATTACTCAATTTTGTTTACATAATATATAAAAACGAGTGGGAAATCATTAAATAAAGAAGATTTATATCCACAATAAATTCTTGGTCATGAGTTTGTTAAACTTCCTTCCTCTTTCTTGTGGCTATCTTCTAATTATTATCTTATTTGTGACTTCCTCTTAATTAGCTTAGTTTGTGGCCAAAATGGAGAGATTAGTTGAAGCCCTCTAAGTATATAAAACCCCATCTCATTTTGTATGAGGACACTTAACAAAAAACCTTCTTCCTAACCTTTGTCTACTTCTTAAGTCTGAGCAATAGTCAGGTTCGTCTACGTTTAAGCTAGTGCAAGCTTAGCGTGGTTATTGTGTTGCCTGTAAAAAGCGTACCGGTTTGTCTTAACTGCACCGTCATCGGGCAAATAACACTTTTAAGACAATATTATATAACACGGCATAGACTCTCGTACACCCTTAAAAGCGTTATTTGCCCGGTGACGGTGCAGTCAAGATAAACCGGTAGGTTTTCGACAAGCAACACACTTGCACCAACTTAAACGTATACGAACCTGACTATTGCTCAGACTTAGGGAAGCAGATAGAGGTGAGGAAGAAGATTTTTTGCCATACAAAATGAGATGGGGGTTTATATACTAGAGGGCTTCAAGTAACCTCTTCATTTTAGCCACAAACTAAGCTAAGCTAATTAAGAGGAAGCCACAAATAAGATAATAATTAGAAGATAGCCACAAGAAAAAGAGAAAAAAGAGTAAGGAAGTTTAACAAGCTCCCTTTAACTCATAACCAGGAATTTATTGTGGATAGAAATCTTCTTTATTGAATGATTTCCCAACAATCCTATACCCTACAAAAATCACTACACAATAATTCCCAACAAAAAGTCTACATAACATTTGTGACAAGTAATATATATTATCCAACTGGTTTTAATATGGAAAAATAACATTTTTCTATAAAAATACATGAACTTGCCTTATCTTTAAGTTTGTACACATCCGTGCGCCCAAATGGCCCAATCAACATGAGCTCATTTTTTAGGTTCCTGTACACAAGCGAACTCTCTCCTGTGTTGCACCCTGACAAATGGAACAAGCAATAACACCACCAGCCATCTTTTACGTGCTTTTTGGTTCCAGTTCCTGTCAGTACAATTCCAGAGCCTTTGATGTAGCTCTCCGTGCAATATCCAATGCAATGAGACAAGCATACAAACAAGGGAAGAAACCTTCATTGTTTATCGTCAAACCCTTTGGCCTTTTCTATAGACTCCATAGCTTCTTCAAATGATTTCTGCATTTGTAAGAGAGTGAGGGTAAAGACAGGAAGAAAATTGTATAGAAATGTATTCATGTTTGAGTTCCGAGAATATTTTGGCACACGAAAATAAGAATTCCACATACAGAAATGGAAGGAATTAACAAAAAAAATGCTCTACATACTAGAAGTCCAAATAAGAGATGAGATATACTGCATAAATCGCTTAAGGTAGTAAAATGAGATTACGGGGTGAATACCGTTGTGGAGTTGAGTTTCTTGTTTTCCACAAAGCTGAACTTGATCAGAATAACAACTAAAATTACACCCTTGACAAATGCACTTACTGATGGATAAATTACTGACCATCAGTTATACTTCCATTTGCCAATCACAGTTTCAAACATATTGCTCACAAACCAAGATTGTTGTACTTGCATTGACATTGTAAAGATTATATATATCCAACCATAAAAAAAATAATAAAAAAAGAAATTTGGGAACTTTAGATAAATGAGAATAAGAAAAGAGAGATTAGAGATCAGGTTTCGGATTGCCATTCGCAACAGAAAGTTGTCCACCCAAAATTAAGGTTTTATAATTTCCTTACAAACTAACAAACCATTAACTAAACAGTCCTGCGCAAGTCCACTGTATACTCATTTCATTTTGTACATTAAGTTGTATACTTGTATTATTATGCAATCATGACAGGAAAAAGAAATGAGTCAAACAACAAAAGGCAACACAAGCCTGCAGTAAATTTTATTGCTTCCTCATTTTTTAATTCACTTGTTAATTCTGAACAATTATTTAGAATCAGTTTCATGTATGAGGCGGTAAAACAAAGAAATAAAGAGTTATCAATAACATACTCCAGAGTTCTGCACCTTCCACAGAGCCTCCCCTCCAGCATCAATTGCAACCGAGGCACCTAACAAAAAACTTCAGCCAGATATGAATCAGTAGTAGCTTGCTTCCATAGAAAGACAACATTTGGTAATTTCAAAAATCAACAAATGCAACATCATGCAGTGTAAGTATTACACCATTCACTTGAATAATGCAATCACCATGTCTCCAGAAAAAGTAGCAGTAACTCAGAATAGTAAATAGTAAATGTTCTTTCCAAACTTCCTCTAATATATACAAACCCGATATCAAATTATTTTCAGGCACTTAGACTTTGAGCTGATCTTGTTCCTTCTCTAGCAAAATTGGTTTTGCACCATGTATGCCTGGACCAACAAGGTTCTGTGCTCTGGCTACTATTGTGGTCACAAGGAATAGCAAAGCCAACAATCCAACATACATGGAATAGCCAATTAGCCATGATCTAACATTATAGTGTTCCTTTCTTTTGATAAATTAACTTGAATTCATTACATATTTAAGGTAATTGCTTCATTTTCTAGTGTCTTAGTGATACATAAACCCATGTTCGAATCCTTGTGTAACACCACCAACATAGCAACTAGCAAGCTGCAAGCCAGTTTCACTAAGTTTTGGATGGAGCAGCTTGTAAATAAGAACTTATAGAAAATCAAACCACTCATTTATGTGCAAGGATTAATTGTTACCACAATCTGATACTAACCACAGACCTGTTTAACAAATATTGCCTAAAGGGTGGTGATAAAGAAGTTTTTAAGGGAAACAAATGATCAATTTCATGTTATGACAGACAAAATAGAATACAGAAAAACTCAAGTAAAGACAAGAAAGATAATAGTATAAGAAGAAGAAAGATAAGAGTAACATATTTTGCACACACACACACAATACAGTTTTATGTCAGGAAGGCAATCACAGACAATGAATCAATATGTTCCACACACAGAGACAGTTTTATGTCAAAAAGGCAATCACGGACTCCATAAATGAATCAATATGTTTCTCACACACAGAGAGAACAGTATTATGTCAAAAAGGCAATCACGCAATCACAGACTCCTTGAATGAATCAATATGTTTCACATACTAATAATCTATACAATAATTTTATCCTGATCATAAAAAAAAAAAAAAAAAATGCATCACTCTTGAAGTAAGAATATTACCCAGCTAAGGCAACGTTGAGAAGAAAAGTCCGAGTGGTCATGAAGCGGAGAAGCATCTCCATTTTGGTAACCATGCCGTCCGAAGCATGGCGGCTGTAGGTATAACCATAATTACTGCCATTCCCGCGGGAATTTCCATAACTACTACTCTGATATTGATAATAACTGCCAGAACTGCGACTATAATTATTATTTCCGTAGGAAGAAGAGGTAGAGGAGCGGATGTTGTAATCGGCGCGCTTGCGGTCGTCCATTAGGGTGTCGTAGGCGTCGGAGAGCTGCTTGAAATTGGAGGTGGCGCGTTCTCTCACGTGCGGCGGGGAGTTGACGTGCTTGTCCGGGTGGAATTCCACCGCCAATTTCCGGAACGCTTGCTTGATCGCTTCCTTGCTCGCCTGACGGCTCACCCCTAATACCTTGTAATGATCCATCGCTTTGTCGTACTATGCGTCCTGTCCTGTCCTCTTCTTGTGTTTCTCTCTCGTTTCCGTCGGTGGAGAGAGTAACAGAGCGGAGCGTTGTTGTTAGCTTCTGATCTGTGTGGACAATAAAGCGGACGCCGGCGGAGACACGGTGGTTCCGAATTTTGCGGCACCCGTGGCGCTACCACAGCCGCGCGCCTTCAATACCCCAAATTTTGCTAATAAATCGTCAATTAAAATTAAGAGTATATTCACGTAAACTAAACTAATTACAAAGAGAATGAAATTTACTTGCTACGAATGAGTAAACAAAACTATAAGCACAAGTGTGCGGATTAACCAAGTTCACGTACTAGAATGAAATCAAGTTACTAAAATGTAATCGGGGCGTTGTAGTATGACAACTACATCACTAGTCACTAGTTTAATAGAGCGGATGAACTATAATTCTCCTATTAAAATGTTGTGAAATTCAATTCTTATTTATATCCTCTTGGTCAAGCTTATTGTATTTACCTACTAGTGAAATGTTGTTGGATTTTATATTGTTAGGGGTAAAATCGTCATCCCAAGGAAACATCTTCAATATCTAAACAAAATCACCGTAAAATCATATCTATAGGTGTTTGATGATGAGAATAATGGGGAAGATGGGCAGAAACCAGACAGATCTATGGGATTTATAGTTTCGACCATTGGCAAACTCTTCTTTTCCTCTTAATATGATTTTTCTTTTGTTTAAATATTGAAGATCTTTCTATGGGATGACGATTTTGCCCCTAAAATATAAAATCTGAAAATATTTTACTGTCAATTTGGCTAGAAGGACCTAAACTGATAAAAATAACAAAGTTATGCACCAAATTTGAAAAAATTTAAAGTTGTGCACCAAAAGTGATAAGAACTCAAAAGTCGTGGGACCAAAAGTGAAATTAATTCTTAAACATTTATATAAACTTCAAATTTTGACAATTTAATACCAAAATTTTGATTTAACTAAAATAATAATTCAATTATCTTAATTTATGTATTAATTAGTGAGCATAATACTTGAACATTCTTTTATATATATAGAATGTTTTTTTTATAAGAATTTAATTTACTTTTGTTAGCTTAATAAAATAGAAATGTTGGTGCATAATGTTTTTCTTTAATGATGCTATATTATAATTTTAAAAATAATTTAGGTGCCAATTTATAAAAATCAGATTAAGTTATAGATTTTATTGGATTAAAGTTAATTGACACCTCTGTGACTCTTTTGAAGGAGACAAGATGAGATCTCGGTGGAGTATTGACTACACTCTAACGGCACGTTTGGTTCACGGAATGAATTTTGAGGTAATATGAATGCTATTCCATAATGATTGGAATATGCAAGGAATAGAATAAGAATTGTATTATATTGTTTGGTTCGCATAAGAAATAGACTTTAGGAATTATATTACAGTGTTTGGTTGATTTAAGGAATAGAAATGAAATATGTTTTAAAAGACATAAATACCCTTATAAAAATATGTGGTGGTGGCGATGGTGGTGGCGGTGGTGGTGATGGTGGTGGCGGCGGCGGTGGTGGTGGTGGTGCTGGGGTGGTAGTGGTGGCGATGGTGGTGGCGGTGGTGGTGGTGTTGGGGTGGTAGTGGTGGTGGTGGCGGTGGCAGTGGTGGGGGCGGCGGTGGTGGTGGGTGTCGCGACGGTTGTGGCAATGGTGGCGGTGGCGATGGTGGTGGTGGTGGCGGTGATGGTGCTGTGGTGGCAGTGGTGGTGGGGGTGGCGACGGTTGTGGCGGTGGTGCTCCTGGGTGGTGGTTCTGGTGGCGGCGGCGGCGACGATGGTGGTGGTGGGGGCGACGGTGGTGGTGGGGGCGGCGACGGTTGTGGCGATGGTGGTGGTGGTGGCGGCGGCGGCGGTGATGGTGGTGGCGACGACGGTGGTGAAATAAGATAAATTTATATATAGGATAAAAAAAAATTAGGTTAAAGAAAGGGGTAAAAAAGAAAATAGATTCTAAAATCTATTCCTGAGCGTTCAGTAATAGGCTAATACCAGGGGAGCCCCTAGTAATAGCTATTACCTTATTTGAGGTAATAGGCTATTACCAGGAATACTATTCCTGGTAATAGAAATGGTTACCAAACAAAGGAATAAGCTTATTACTGGGAATGCTATGCCATTTCCGGCCTATTCCGTGAACCAAACGGGTCATAATAGAGAAAGTATATTGAACAGATACTACACTGTAATAAAATCGATAGCACTAAAAAAATAGTATTATATTAAATTGTCAAATTTTAAAATTTTAGATATGATTATTAGAAGAAATAAAAATTTAATTTTTTTGACCAATAATAAATAAATCCTTTTCTTTTTACATATACTACATTATATTCACCTACCAAAATTCCTAAAATACTCACTTTAGATATATAATTATATTAAAATTATATAAAAAAAATAAATAAATATAAAGAGATAGCAAACTAAGCTACGTAACAAGACCCACAACATTCACGCATTCTATCATAAGTAAAAGTTTAATGTCATATCATGAATTCTAAACTATAATTGTTAAAAAATATTGTTTTACTGTGTTCTTTATTCACTTATATGCAGATAGGGCTGTTAATGAATCGAACATAAACGAACGGAGGTTGTTCGTGTTCGTTTGCTAAGAATTTTAGAGTGTTCGTGTTCGTTTGTTAAGGTTTTTTAAAATCCTGTTCGTGTTCGTTTGTTAAGTGTTCATTAGTGTTCGTTAACGTTCGCGAACACGTTCACGAACGTGTTCGTTTACATTAACGAACATGTTCATGAACGTGTTTGTTAATGTTCGCTAACACGTTCATGGACGTGTTTGCTAATGTTAACAAACACGTTCACGAAAATGTTGGTTTACGTTCATGAACCTTTAATAATCAAATACCTGCACATGTTCATGATCACTATTTGTTCGTGAACAACAAATAATCTACGTTCAAGAAATAATAAACGTTCATGATCACAATATAATCCATGTATATATATGTTTGTGAACATGCCAGTGAACATTATTAAACGAAAACTAAACGAGCTTCTTCACGAACATTATTAAACGAACACAAACGAGCTTGTTCACAAATATTATTAAACGAACACAAACGAGCTTGTTCACAATCTCTTAGCAAACGAGCATACAATTGTTCAAGCTCTGTTCGTTTATTAACCGAGCTCTAAATTTTGTTTGTTAATGGTTCATTTACCTTAACAAACGAACATAAACGAACGCTTACCGAACACGAACACGAGTAGTTTGCCGAAAACTCTGTTCGCTAACACCCCTATATGCATGCAGATTGATCTGTTTATGAGTAATAACCAATACAAATAAAAAGTACGAACACGGGATAGCATTCTTTAATTCTTCTAATAGTTACTGTATTTTACAAATTTACCAATGATCAGTCAACAAAAGAACCTCTAATAATATCAACCTGAATCACAGCATAGGAGATTTGACAGTTTTCTGGTACTAATTTATGAAAAGATGCTACTAATCAAGATCAGAAAACATAATATATTTAAAACCAACATTTGGCAATTGGTATGCATCACCATAGAGAGGAAGAACTGAAAGGTAGTTGAAGCTTCAGCACGACAGCATCATAAAAAGCGAGCATACTGATTCCATCCTCAAATGAACAACTGTTTATAGTCCCCGTTGGCTAGTTGGCAAATGCGGTTGTAGCTAACTGTATCTGGCAAAAGAGAGACAGAAGAAGCATTTCAAATTTCATGAGCTTGCCTTTCAGTATCAGAAATCTGCAATTAAACCAGGTTAATCTGGGTGCTTCTAATGCAACTAAACCTGATGAAAGATTTTCTGCTTTGGAATTCGGATACCATTTCAATACAATGAGCAAAAGAAGCACAAATGAAAATGTTTGATGAATACAGTTTATAGAAACCTTATTAGTTATGAGAAAAAATCTGGTGTACCATCAATGTTATATGCACTAGAATGCTGATATAATTTGCATAGAAGAACCTAGTGAAGTTTGACTTTTATAGTTCTATTTTTATGAAGTGACACATTGTCGTGCTCCTTTTTTATCAAACATTTCCTAATTAGTTAATAACCCACACAAAGCCATCATTTTGAATATGGACACATGATAATATAAAATCATTATAAAAAGGTACAAAGAAAGAGTCTTCTACGTTGCTCTTGATGTTCATGTTGTTGGAGGGATTATAGGCATACCAAATTAAAGAGATTTTCTTGGTTCGATCTAACATTCCAACAAGGCCTAAAATGCATGCACGTATTTATTATAAATTACACCATATAAAAAGAATAGAGTGATCATGACTAGTAATATTGAGGTCAAATGGAGCTTCATATATATAATGCAACAATATCAAAGTTCTTACAAGTAGTAACAATTCCTGCAAAGTTTATTCTTAAAATTTAGTCGTTAGGGCAAGTTTTCAACCACCAAAGGTATAGAACAGAAGAAAAATTTACTAGTAGCAGCTTACTTATCCATAAGTAATTGGCTTAAACATTTTCACCATTCACTAATATCAAGCAAATTTTTATGACCAATAAAGGCAATAGCATAGACTAGAGATTAGGCCAGTTACAATAAGAAATGATTAACAAACAAAGGTTATCCCCAAAGTTGAATTAGAAGCATTCTTAAATGATTAACATTTTATTATTGAATTAGAAGCATTCTTAAAGGCTTAATAAAAAGATCAGAAGCAATACCAAGGTTATCCCCAAAGTTGGTCCATATTTCAGCACGGATTGATTGGTTACTGTCAGCAACACCAATAACCTCAACAAATGTGGAGAGAGGACCAGGTGGTTGACCTTTGATGAATATCTGCTGATCATCTGTTGATTTTCCAGTCACTGTGCCACCATCAGAGCGAATAACCTGAATAACTGCCCGAACCCTCCGTCCCACATACATGCGCAGCAGCTCAGCATTGACAAACACAGCAGGGTTTGACAAATCCATTCTTCAAACAAAGAAAAGGCAAATTAAATGATACTGCAGTTCCCAAATAACCCTATTTCCAGTGGCACTGTTTAACATAATTACACAAGAAAAGCATTTCATTACAACTGGTGCAATCTAAATAAAAAAATTTCCCATCATTTCTTCAAGTCCCAAACTCTCGACTAACTAACCATATTCTCACATTTCTGAAAGGTGTCTAGAAGAGATAATCCACTATACTCCGTAGTCCATACTCCCATAACAGATACTTTTAAACCTTGGTCCCATAGATATAGTTGTTAGACACAAGTTTTAAAATTTCCCTACTAATTTCCCTTTTGTGTATTTCTGAGAACGAGTTACAAGACCACATGCATAACAGAAGCAGAGACATTTATCAAGATGTTACATTGGTATAACGAAATGATAAGCATAAAAACTTTATCACCAATTGCATACCCCAGCATAGTTGATATACTGCAATCTATTACCAGTTACCACAGTGTATGAGTTGTGGACTAAAATTTACAGAAAATCAAATACTCCATACTACATTACAACCACAACTAGGTCTAAAGCAGAAAGGATATATAGATCATTTCAACTCTCATCTCCACAATATATTCGATAAAGGCTTAAAGGTATAAACATTCGTCTAGTAGCCATATCACTGCGAATGCAGCTTTGAAAGCAGCTGGTTGTGACTAAAACAGCATCAACCTTTACGAATCAAAAAGTATGCAATCAAAGACGACATGACTATGAAAAAAAACTGTAAGATTACGAGGAGAAATCGAAATCATCTACAGCAGAAAATTCGAAAACCGCAGGTGAAATACACTACTGTCAGTAAATCGAACTACGAGAACAAAGTTACAGAAAAAAAAAATAAATAAATAGCGACTGAATGATATTAAAAGGATGAAGAACAGCTTACTCGTCGGAATTTGATGAAGAGCTGAATTGTTTGGAAATGAGAAAGAGAAAGAAGAAGAGAAATAAAGGCGGAAGGGAGGGTAAAGAATTCCCGGCTTCCCGCGCCCTAAATTGATTTTTGGGAACCAACAGAGAGATACAATTTGGGCTAGACTAACGTGACCCGGCCCATGATAGGCCAACCTGAAATCAATCAATCTATCTACACTCAAGTATTTGCAGGATGTTTTTCAAAAAAAAAAGTATTTGCAGGATGCATATAGCAAAATGAGGGAGAACGAGGGAGGAAATAGCAAAAATTTTGGAGTTTGTGAAATATCTAATTTGCCCCTAAAGAGTTTGAATATACATTCTCATACGTCATACCCCTGAAAGCCACCGAAATAATTCGCTGATTTCCTCGCCGATCCGGCCGGATTCCAAATCGTCGTCTATCGGGACGACGGTGTCGCTCCGGCGACCGCTATCGGTGAAGAATCTCCCGGAGCCTCGAAACGACATCGTACGGGAAGAGAGAAAATGACGCGATTCGATCGACGTAGTCTCGGAGTCAACTCCTTCCGCCGCCGGATACATCTGGCGCCAAACTGTCCCCCGGAGGCTCTGGTACCGGAGCTCCGATGGATTCCGAGCCTCCTCTGCGATGGATGGACTCGATAAAGGCTTAAAGGTATAAACATAAAATGTATATAATTTCAACCGAGATTTCGTCGAGTAGCCATATCCCTGCTAATGCAGCTTTAAAAGCAACTGATTGTGACTAAAACAGCATCAACCTTTACGAATCAAAAAGTACGCGACGACATGACTATGAACAAAAACTGTACCATTACGAGCAGAAATCGAAATCATCTACAATAGAACATTCGAAAACCGCAGGTGAAATACATTACTGTAAGTAAATCGAACTACGAGAAAAAATTTACAGAAAAAAAAAAAAAAAAAATAGCGACTGAATGATATTAAAAGAAGGATGAAGAACAGCTTACTCGTCGGAAATTGATGGAGAGCTCAGCTGAATTGTTTGGAAATGAGAATGAGAAAGTGAAATAAAGGCGGAAGGGCGGGTAAATAATTTCCGGCTTCACCCTTCTATCTTGGGGTAATATTTATAACATTTTGGGGGACAACATTAATTTAAATGGATATTCCGAAACTGTTTACAACTACGACGGTTAATGAACCAAACATAAACGAACGAATGTTGTTTGTGTTCGTTTGTCAAGAATTTTGGGGTGTTCGTGTTCGTGTTTGTTTGTTAAGGTTTTTCAAATTCTTATTTGTGTTCGTTTGTTAAGCGTTTATTAGTGTTTGTTAACGAACACGTTCGCGAACATGTTTGTCAACGTTCGCGAATGTGTTCGTTAACGTTAACAAACATGTTCACGAACATGCATGTTGGTTTACGTTCATGAGCACGTTCGTGAACCTTTAATAACCAAACACTTACACATGTTCATGATCACAATTCATTCGTGAACAAGAAATAATCTATGTTCATGTTCGCGAACATTATTAAGCGAACACTAAATGAGCTTGTTCACGAACATTATTAAACGAACACAACGAGCTGAGCTTGTTCACGATCTCTTAGCAAACGAGCATATAACTGTTCAAGCTCCGTTCGTTTATTAACCGAGCTCTGATTTTTGTTTGTTAATGGTTCGTTTACCTTAACAAACGAACATAAACAAACGCTTACCGAACACGAACACGAGTAGTTTGGTGAAAGCTCTGTTCGCTAACACCCCTATTTACAACATTATATATAGGAATAAGGGTCAAATAGGCCATCGAACTGCACATGATAATGCAATTATGCCACTGAACCTAAAAAACCAACAATTAGGTCCCTAAACTAACCAATTTCAAACAATTCTTCCAATTTCAAGGTTTCCAACAGGTCAACAGGTCATCCTCTCAAATTAATTATTTTTTTAAAAAATAAATTTTAAAAAATAAATAATTTTAAATTTTGTTAAAAAAAAAAAAAAAAAAAAGACTCCGGCCGGAGACAACCAGTCCTGTTTTTTTGTTTTTTTTTTTGTTTTTTTTTTGTTTATTTATTTATTTTTTTAAAATTTAAATAATTAATTTTAAGAATTTATTTTTAAAAATTAATTAATTTGGAAGGATGACCTGTTGGAAACTTTCAAATTGGAAGAATTGTTTGAAATTGGCTAGTTTAGGAACCCAATTGTTGATTTTTTTTGGTTCAGTGGCCTAGTTGAATTATTGTGTGCAGTTTGATGGCCTATTTGACCCTTATTCCTAATATATATAAAGAAGGGAAAAGAGTAAAATAAGCACTCAAACATTTGTTAAATAGTCAATTAGCCCCTCTAACTTTTTAAATGTACAATTACACTCATAAACAATGCATTTTTATGCAATGAAGCCCAAATATAGATAAATGACCTACTATCATCGGTTATTGAAGATCCGATAATTTTTCGGTGTATTTTCAGGCTAAAAAAGCGACCGTTCAACTGTCGCCGGTGACCACTGTGGTCACCTTCTCGCCGGAGAAGGCCACCACTCTACAATTCATTCCCCATTCGATGTTCTTGTGCGATGTTCCTACAAGAACATCGAATGTGCAAAGAAAAATGAGCCTTAATGCTCTACAAATCAATTGAGTCGAAACAATTTAAAATATGATAGTACATTTTTTAAAAATGTTATTGATTAAGAGTATTTTGAAAAGAGTTTATAGAACGCTCTTTTACAAACTATTAACTATCATTACCAAACAGTTGCTTGAATGTTTTAATTTGTAGATAAAAATTAAAATTCTTCAAACAACATGATTGTAAAAATAATGTGTCATTATTTTCGTTATTTGTTTCATACATGCATGTCACTAAGTTTACGTTCGATACTTCGATTATATGTGCATGTATAACATGTTACAATTAAATATATGTTCCTTTCTTTATGGATATTATATATTCATATAATTACATTATACATTTTATATATCTGGAGAAAGATAAGTTTCTTCATTTCATTGCAAATGACAATTACATACGGATTTGGAAGTGCTGTGGACCGACGCCTTTGGAGAGCGAAACGGTAGTTTTAAAACGCCGCCGCAAAGGATGCTTAACAGTGACTCTGTAATTCCCCAAGAACCCAGAGAAGCTAAACGACCCATTGCTATCAGTCTTTCCGGTGAGCTTGCCGGTGTGCCATTCTTTGAGGAGCTTATCGACGACGTCGCCGGCGAGCGTGTTGTTGAAGTTCTTGTCGGTGAGGCACATCTGCCAGCAGGAGCCTTGGTGGTTAATGGCGGCCCAGATGACGATGCCGCCGATGCCGGGATGGGCGAACCCTTCCCGCAAGACTTTCTCCAGATACCGCGCCTGTTTCTCCAGCCCGTACTTGAGGCTCACGTCGACTTCCGTGAGCCAGACGGGGACGCCGACGGTGGCGAATTTGTCCATCACCGCCCGACTGAAAACCGGGTTTACCCCATTGAAGAAGTGCCCTTCCAGTCCCATTCCCAGAAGCTTGATCCCGTTCCGCTGAAACTCCCGAATCTTGGCGATGTACCCGTCCACGTTGCTGCCATTGCCGCATGACTCCACCTGTTTCAGCATATATAATATATAAATATGTAACCAAGATTCAAGATAGTCAATTAATTTTTAGGTATCAGATTGTGGACAATGACACAGATTTATCCGGACAGCATCAATATAAAATTGGATTGGGTTGGATTGTGTTCCCCAATCAAAGAGTTTCGTCTTTTTTAGACAAGTTTAGATTTTTAATTCAGACGGAATACACCATCCAATTTGATATCAGAGATCATGAATTTTTATAGTCACATGTTGCATGGAGTCCATAAAGAAGTAATTGGTTCGCACACAAGCGAAAGAGAAGTTGCAATTAAAACTCACAAACATGTTATTTTGGAGCAATGAAACCCATTAACCTGTTGGTGACCCGTAATTGCAAGTCAATTAGGGTTCCAGTCAACTCCGACGAACCTCCGTCAAACATCCAACCAAATTCTGACAAGCTATGTCAAATACCAACGTTCATCAACAATAGCTGGTTGTTGGTATTTGACCTAGCTTGCTGGAATTTGGAATTTGGTCGGCTGTTTATTTGAGTTGGCTAGAACCCTAGTTGAATTGGCCTGCAATTACAGGTCACCAACATGTTAGTGTGTTTCGTTGCTCCAAAATAACAGAATTTAATTATAACTTCTAAAAAATGTAAGGGTCTAAGTGACTTCTTAAGTGATAAAATTTATGAACTTATTTGACCATTTTCGTTATAATATATAAATGCACTACAACTATTAATGTAGTATTTTAGTTAAGGCGGAGCATATGCTTCAATTACCAGCTTGAAATCATTCAAGAAGAGCGGGATGTTGGGGTCGACCGCCTGCGCCATCTGGTAGAACTTCAGCGACGCGTTCCGGTCATCCAACTTCGTCTCGTAGAAGTCGTAGTGGAGCATCTCGTTGTTGACGTCCCAGTGGATGAACTTGTTCTTGTACCGCTCCATCACGGTGCGCAGCCGGTTGGTGGCGAACTGCCGGAGCCGCTCCCCCGTCAGGTTGCGCGCCCACGACGGCGCGAACACCGGGTCCTGCCATATAATGTTGTGGCCGCGAGTCGGGATTTTGTTCCTCGTCACGTACTCCACCATTTTGTCCGCCGTCTTGAAGTTTGACGTTCCCGGCCTCGGCTCGTTCGACGGCCATTTCAGTTCGTTTTCAAACACCGTCACTGTAAATCTTTTCTTGAACCATTTCTAAAAGTTACAGATAAAAAAAAAAACATAAACATTAATGAAACAAAGATTATATTTACATTGCAAATGTGTAACTTGCATGCTTACAACTCGAGAGATGAACCTGATAGGATGGGTTATCCAAAATGGCGCTTGAAATTGCGACTCCAAAGGGGAAATCTCTGGAGATTTGCTCCACTTTTATTTTTGCACCTTGTAGTTTAGCTCCATGTCGATCCGTAACCGTGATTATACTATTACGTTTTCTTACCTGCCATAAAAACCAAGAAAATCAGTTTTCGAGTTTCTGAACACACTTTAAATATTTTATAAATATATGATATATGGTTCATGACAATTGTATCAATGGATAGAGAAGTACGTGACATGACAACGTTGTTACCTGTTGGATCGCCTTGTCTTGGTGTGCCCGCCATTGCTCCTCGGAGAATTGTTGCAATGACATACTCGCAACTTCTATGTGGACATTCCTGCCGTTATAATCCTGAAAATGGTAAAAAGATAAATTAAAGCGTTTCGAAAAATTATTTCCTTTTGTTTTAAACAATGTTAATTTGGACCCCAATTAATTACCTCAAAATGTAGGACCGATGTGTTTAGAGGTGCCTCTAAGTAAAATCCTCCCTTAACAAAAGACCAACATCCTTCCCGAGCAATAACGGTGGCTCCACAGGTTTCCTTTGTCCCCACAACAACCCATAAAACAGTAGATTCAATATCGGTAATCTTTACCCAACCTGTGTGCAAGTTAAACAAGTTACAATTACACTAAAATCATCCATAATATTCTATATATAACCTTATTTACCAGCCAAACACATTGTGCTCAGGTGACATGTAGTGACATCTTCCATGTGAGAGGTCATGAGATCAAGCCTTAGTGGAGGTGTTGTTGACTCTTTATTCTATTTTAAATTTTATATCACTTTCCCATAATGTTGCATAAGGCGTTAGGCGCTAGTCGGACGCTCGGGGGTGCCTAGATTGCCTATGCGGTTGAGTAATTCAAGTATATTGTCTCCACTTTTTCCATTCAGGGCTATGAGTTGTTAGACTGTTATAATCCCTCAAACTAGTCAAATGCATGTGTTAGATAGTTACTTGAGTACATGGTTGAAGAAATATAGAAGAAGAGTAGCCGAGCAGACAAAAAAAAACACTTGGCCGAGCAGACAAAAAAAAACACTTGGCCGAGCAGACAAAAAAAAACACTTGGCCGAGCAGACAAAAAAAAACTCGGCCGAATTAGCGCCTACTCGGCTGAGTTGGGCACTGACTCGATCGAGTTATGTGCTCAACTCGACCTAGTTAGGCGCCTAAGTCACCTAATCGGCCGATCGACTAAAAGCCATCTAAGACTAATTGTCTTGGCCTAGAGGCCCCTAGGTCAATTTTTACAACAATGGTTTGCAGCCATCTAAGTTGTCAAATTTTCCCGAAATATACCCCTTCAAATAAAAATTAAAAATATAGATTTGTCTTAACTGGAAAAACTATAATAGAAGCCTGGTATGAGATCTGGCAAGATCACTGAAGGTACATAAGTTCTGTATCCCCATATACTTCTGACCCATATGTAGTCAATCTCTTGACCCTTCAGAATCCCTCCACCATACAGTGGCTTATCAGGCAGCTGCTTGCACTATTGAGCAAAAAAAAAACAAAAAAACCATAATCCTCATAAATTAGGAAAATTATGTGATTATAAAAATACGCAATTCTAAATATAAGAAGTCTTTGTTTCTGTGTAATAGCTGACAAACTAGGACACAAAAGAGATAAATCACATTAAAAAGACCTTATGCGACATACGCGACTGACAAGGTGTTAAACAAGAATCAAACTCGAAAATCATGCTCTGAGAAATCTGCATTATTTAATCTTTTGTTATTACCTCTGTGGGAGCCGAATAATCATACATTGGGAAATCTGCTCACATTTCAAAAATACCAAAAAAAAAAAAAAGAAGTAAATATAGGATAGTGTTTACTTAATAATTCGAAAAGTAAAACAATAGATACAAAAATATGCACAAAATTTAAATAATTAGAGAAATCGAATACTATAAATTTATGAAATTTGAGCGTTTTTACTTTAATCACAACCTTGTATAGAAATCGATTGCATTCACACACGTTACCACTAAAAGAGTAATATGGAAATGCATATTTAGAGGGACAAATTTGTTCCACTCAAAGGTGAGACGGAGAAAAATGAAAGCGGTGAGAGGTGAGACAAGGACAAAAACGAAAGGAGAAAAAAAGTAGCTATACTTATACAAGTTAGAATATAAAAATGGGTAACAAATATCATAACTTATTACTCAAATACACAACCCACGAACTATTAGTAAAACTAAAAAGTGATTAGAACAAATAAGGTTAAGTGAGACACCGACAAAAAACGAAATAAGAACAAGAATAGCTATACAAGTTAAAATTTAAAAAAAAAAAAAAAAAAAATGAATCACGAATATCGTAAATTATCACTCAAATACTCATCAATCGAGGAATTGAACCAACAAAACTCAAACAATAGTAACTTCCATGGAAGTTTATAACCTTGAGAAGAGGCGACTAGGAAAGCTGCAGCAACAAAGACAATGAAACACAAGAGGAAATGATGTGCCATTTTCACAGGACGACTCATCATTCTTCTTACTTGATTGAAGTTATGTCGTTTAAGGTATTTAATAATAATATTTCTCAAAGATTTTATGAATCATGATTAAGTGTAATAACGTATTGTACCATCAAATTCAACTAATATGGTAAAATTGCATGCATGCATCCACCATTCACCAAATACCATTAATGCTTATTAACGTATTGTACCATCAAATTCAACTAATAAATTATTATTATTATGATTATTATTATGATTATGATTATGATTATTATTATTATTATTATTATTATTATTATTATTATTATTATTATTATTATTATTATTATTATTATTATTATTATTATTATTATTGTTGTTGTTGTTGTTGTTGTTGTTGTTGTTATTGTTATTGTTATTTGTTGTTGTTGTTGAGTGCAATTATATATAATTATAATTTTTTTTGAACAACATCTTTAATTAAATAAATAATGCGGAAATTAATTAAAGCTTATTAATATCTACTATGGAGTGTGGATAAAATGGTCATTTATTATTATTATTATTATTATTATTATTATTGTTGTTGTTGTTGTTATTGTTGTTGTTTTTTTAACATCTTTAATTAAATAAATAATGCGGAAATCAATTAAAGCTTATTAATATCTATGGGGTGAGTGACCGTGTATTCTCATTCCTTAAGAAAAGTCGGGAGTTCGAAACCACACTCTCGTATGAAAAAAATAAACTGGTCAGCACTTTGCCCCTTAATTGGACTGGCCCGATGTGAATGTGGATTAGTCTGAGTACAATTGTGTCATGCCATGGACTCGGGTCCAAAATCTTTCCTGATGGAGGAATTTGGTGTCATTGGACCACAAAGTCCTTGTAAACAATGAGCGCAATTGGCTATTATGAAAGTCATATTATAAAATATCCAATTTTGTAAATAAATAATGCAGAAATTAATTAAAGCTTATTAATATCTATGGGGTATGGATAAATTGGCGTAAATCTCTTACAACTTCATGTGTGCTTTGTCACTCTTAAATAATCCAAAATAAAATTAGTACAAAGTTTTAAAATTCAAAATGCTAAATATCAAATAAAAAATTATTTTGTTATATTTTTATTAATATTAAAAGAAATATAAACCTATCCGTCCCACTTCTTGGCAAGCCTATAAATCCCCTGCCCGGCTGCCCGCTCCCAAGTCATTAGATGGTTGCATGCGTTTGCTTAGCGGCAAATTATACCTCGGAGGCATGGACTAGGGGTCCACCTTGCATTGCAAATCTTAATTAAAAAATAATATTTAAATTTTATATTTATAGTTGACACATTTAGTACCTGCAGACTGCAGTTTATAATTTTTGTATTTGTAACTATCATATTATGTGTCAGCAATTATCAAGTCAGATTCTGTATCTATAGTTGACTTATTTTGTACATGCAATTGATAGTTTCTGTACATGTAGTTATTATATTATGTGTCAGCAATTATCAAATTATTTGTTTACATGTACAGAAATTGTTAAATGTATGTACAGAATATGTTAACTGAAGGTATAAAAATTTTGTATCATGATTCACAATACAATATAAACTCTGGTCCATAGTATAACAATTGTTTCTTAGCGGGTTAGGCTTATTTTGGCAATGAGTTAATTCCAGCAATGGTCCTTGACTATATTGACTTTCCAAAATTAGTCCTCGACTTTTAATTTGGACACTTTAGGTCCCTTGACTTTCAATTTCTTTCCAATTGAGATCTTTTCGTCAGAATACGATTAATTAGACTTTAAATGAAGGGGTAAACTCGTCCTTTCTTTCACATGCCTATGTATTATTTTTCGTATTTCTCCCTTCGTATTTCGCTGTTATACCTTGTAAACATCTCAATAATGGAGAAACGCACACATGAGTAGTCAATAAATGGGGAACAACGAGGAACATTCTAGGACTTCGACTGAGATTATCTTCATATATATTGCTTATACAAGGAGAAATATGAAGAATAATACATAGGCAGGTGAAAGGACGAGTTTACCCCTTCATTTAAAGTTCAATTAATTGTATTCTGACGAAAGGACCTCAATTGGAAAGAAATGGAAAGTCAAGGGACCTAAAGTGTACAAATTAAAAGTCGGGGTCTAATTTTGAAAAATCAATATAGTTGGAGGACCATTGCTGGAATTAACTCTTTTGGCAATTCTACTAGATGGTGATTTACTATTTCTTTTTTTTTTCCCCTTTTGTCTAATCAATGTGATAGAATTCATAAGTAATAATATGAGAAAATTGTAACTTATGTCCCTCCATAATATGTCAATTATTAGTGGTGTATGCCTCTCAATTTTCAAAATTCTATATATATATAGCTCCTTCTGTAGTGTAAATGTTGTCCCTCAATTTCTCTTGCATACGGTATAGGAGGGGCAATATATGTACTGTTTTGAAAATTGAGGGACAACATTTGCACCACTAATAATTCAAAAATGACAATGATAATTGACATATTATAGAGGGAATAAATTATAATTTTTTTCTAATAATAATATTTGATAGTACACTTATCATTTATATATATATATATATATATATATATATATATATATATATATATATATATATATTTTAAAGATATTTATAATTATTAAAAGGTGACACTAACTTTTTGTTACTTGTTCCAACTTTAATTAACTCTAATTAGTTAAACTACCCACACAAAATGAAACTTAACATTTAATTATGGCAAGGGGCTGCAGAGACCATTTTTCAAGAAAATAATTAAAAGACAAACAGCCAGAAGTTGTTTAAAAGCACAAATTAAAGCTGTAATGAGCGCATAAGGTGGACTTTTTTATTTTATTTTTTATTACTATAATATTACAATGTAAAGTGATTTGAGGTGCGGGCGTGCGGCGATATAATATAAATATAATTTTTATATTTTTGTATCAATAGTAGTTACATGTTCAGGTGCGTCAAAGACTTTGTGGTCAAGCGGTATAATTAACCTCTTTGATTCAGCTGAGTTATCATAATTTACATCTTTTCAGATGCTTTGTCGAATTGCGATGTAAGAAGCTCTTGAAGTTGGAGATTCAACATTTTGAGAAGAAAAATAAGAAATCATTAGTTTAAACTCTAATGGGGGCATTGACTCTTTATACTACGTTGTAACAGAGTCAATAATACTTTTTTAAAAAAAATGAGAGCAATAAAAGTAATATGATTTTATCTGACTTGACAAAATTTTAGTTTGCGTGTGAATCTTTAAATCTAGAGATTGTATATTAAGTCGTTAACAAAAACTTTTTCTTTTGTCACAAACGCGTCTTACTCGGAAATTATGTGACAGGCCAAATAACGTCAAGATCCTATGCTGTAAATAAAAGCAAGCTTATTAATCCTAAAGCGTAATGGAATGGGTTTTGAATCAATTAATTATTGTCTTTTTTAACACATGACAAAATGTACGTGAAGGGATATGAGACTGATTGAATTCAACCTTAATTTTAATTTCTATTTTAAAAAATTACAGTTGTCATCAATTTTCAACACGGATAAAAACAAAGTTTGATAATGTCAATTATCTTTTATTATATTCACGGTTGTAAAAATCGCACAGTCTGATTGCTTAGAATTTTACCTTAATCAGTGTTCTAGGTGGTCGGCCGTCTGAGCGACTGATTAGCTATTGTTATGTTTTTTTAATGGGTTATTTTACTCAAAACGATTTTATTTTGTGCAAAATAACGCTAAATCGTTCAAATTGATCGCAAACTCAAAAAATGCAAATAAATAAATAAATAAATAAAATTGAAATCAACTACTATAATATTAATACTTTGTGAGTTGTGACTTTTGTGTAATTGTGTTTTGATTCTTTAAATCTTTATACAATTTACAATTTTATATGTTTTTAGGTTAATATTTACCTGAATAATATTTTAGTATCAACTATTAAAGTATTAAATAGTTTATAATTATCAAGTCAATCTTAAAAAAAATAAAAATTGAGCGCCCGAGGAATTCCTGGCAATCTTTGCAACCTTGATTGTATTATTATGTTAAAGTATGAGTATATGGTTATGAATAAAATATAATAATTTATATATGTAATTCTTAGTACACAAAATTGTGTTAGAGTTAGAAACAGCAAAATGCTCTCAATAGGTCACGAAGTACTAAAGGATATTCTTCAAGCGAAATATTTCCTTTCTATAGAGCAAGCTGACTTTTATAATGATGGGCATGGAGCACATGCATAAATACCAATTGACGCTCACCTATAGGTCAGTTAGATCGGTTGTACCATATGTTGATGTTGAAAAAACTTGAACAGGTGTGACGGTTGGAATGACGCTTCACGTGCTGCCTATTTGTTCAATTGGGGTCTATTTCTCAACCTGAAAAGTTGTGAAACACACTATTAAGGTCGAAAATACCCGTCAATTGTCATATATGTTGGTCATATATTCCCATCAAAGTTATTGTGCTACCTCACAATATAATAACATTAGGGACATGATTATGAAAATTTTCAAAAGCTATTCCTATAAAAATTATTAACTTATTCAATTCCGGCCTCTTTACTACAATGATATTTTCATTTCAAATTTTGCAGTTAATTTCTTTTTTTTTTTTTTCGTTTTTAGTTTTACTTGGATACATTTAAATTTAGAGCATCACCATTATAACATTTTAATATAAGTTGTGTTTTACACTTTTACTCTTACAAATCTGTTAAAAATTAATTTTAGGCTTTATCATTGCTGTTGTTTTTAAAAGCTGGAGGTAAAATGAAAAATAAAATTGAAAACGAAAAGTGAAAATAATATGGTAATAATCAATTAATAACAAAATTTTGAAAAAAGCAGAAAAGTTGTTGTGATAAAGTTGGAGTTACACAAAAAGAAGAGCAGATTCTGTTTTCACTACTGGAGTCCCCAACTCCGAAACTGTTGGGGACCCACCCACCCACCCACACGAGCGGCTATCGAAATTGGTGCACGTAACATAAATTATAAGGTAAAATAAAGATTTAAATTGATATAATTTTATTCTTTTTTTTTTTTTTGAGATATTTCTCTTTTTATTTCTCATAATTGTAATTAATAGTGTAAATGAGATTGTTGTAAGGGTAGATTTGGAATTACGCTATGAGATAAATCAATAATCAATAATAAAGTAATAAGAGATGATAATGAAATGATTTTTGTATAAACGGGGATATATAGGTCTAGAGCAGATCAGAGCAGTTTGACCCGTACGGACTAATAACGAGTAAAAGATGATTCTCAGACTTTATAAAGATGTGCTATTTATACTTAAAATCAATCTCATATGAGATGACCTCACATAAGACGATTGTTAAATAATTTATAAAAATCGTTCACATAAGATACTAAAAATAGCAAAAAAAAAGAAGAAAAAAAGGTCTACATTATTACCAAATAGGCATCGATACTTTTTTGCACTAAACTATGCTTAATTTTGGTTTATACCGAGTATTACTAAGTTGTTTATCTTCTCGTTATCAAGTACAATTCAAAAATATACATAATTATATGTAATGCAAAATACATCCAGATGTTCAGTCGGGACCAATGAAAGTTTTAAAAACTTTGAAGTATAATAGTAAAAATTTCTTGTGCACAAAAATATATTAGTACACCGAGATAGATTGGTATTCTAAAATTTCCCCATATATATAATGTGTGAGCATTGCATACTAAGTAGTATGTTCATCTTCTTAACAAGTCACCACTCACCACCCACTCTCTCCTTGTACATCTAAAATAATTGTTTTTGTTCTTGGTTGGGTGAATTATGTATATTAACCTTTGCCGTCATCGTCGTTACTATCATCATTTTCCTTTACCGGAAATGATTACCGGAACTAATAATGGCAATGGGGTGCCGGAAATCGACGGCGGCGGCAACTGTTCAAGGTTCATCCCAAGAGGACACTGGAAACCCGATGAAGACGCCAAGCTCAAAGAGCTCGTAGCTCTCCACGGCGCACATAACTGGAATTTCATCGCTCACAATCTTCCAGGAAGATCAGGTTTTAATAATTTTTGAATTTGTTTTTATTTTTTTGGGGATTTCGCTGATAATAATGGCGATGAACAATTGAACAGGGAAGAGTTGTAGATTGAGGTGGTATAACCAGCTGGATCCGAAGCTAAACCGGAGCACGTTCACGGCGGAGGAGGAGGAGCGGCTGGTGGAGGCGCAGAAAATGTACGGCAACAAATGGGCGACGATCGCCCGCCTGTACTTCCCCTGCCGGACGGATAACGCCGTGAAGAACCACTGGCACGTCCTCCTCGCCAGAAATGAGCGGTGGTGGCGGCAGCAGCAAATCGGCCCGGTTTCCGCCGCTAGTTTTACTAGTACCTGCGGCGGTTACAAGAGAATGAAGCTAACGAACGTCATTAATAATCCTAGTACAAGCAGTTTCAATGCCGCCGCCGCCACAGAATCCACCGTCGATTCTAAGTCCACTTGCAGTCACCTCTCCCTTTCCGCCGCTTCATTTGGCCGTAATCCAATGCCGCCGGACTTTCAAACCCCCGGCGCCGTTACAGGTATTCCGACGAAACAATGCCACTCTCCACTTCCCATTTTAACCTCACTCTATATAATTCAAATTATTAAACAATATACGTTTTTATCAATTTTCAATCATATATTTCAATAAATAAAAAATCCATAAATACCACAATGTTGGACGTTGGTCGGATTGATCGAGTTCAGTCTCTGCTTGATTCAAAACGTGGCGATGTGGGTTATCAGTAAGGGGTGTAATTAAATGGTTATCCACCTACTTACTACCAATTAGTTTTAAGTAGATGGCACTGAAAGAATTCTATAATTAAAGCGTACTTGACTTAGAGCAATTACAGAAACGCTAAGATCAATCACACATAACATCTAGAGATATACTTTCTTGTAGGATCATTATCATCATCCGGGGTGGAAGAAGGAAAGGATAGGCAATGCAACTCTCCACGTCCAATTTTAAGCACACCCATTACCGATATAGGATTAAGTATCACAGGTATATCTCATTATTGTATATATAATTATAATTATTGAACCAAATACATTTTATCCACTTTCAATAAGGGAACATGAAAATATTGTCATAACATCTCATAATATAATTTCTTACAGGGTCATCGTCATCTAGGACGGAAGAGGGAAAGGGTAGGCAATGCTACTCTCCACTTCCCATTTTAACCACACCCTTTGCAACCAAGATAGGATTAAGTATCACTACTAAAGGTGCATCACATTACTTCAGATAATTATAATTACTGAACGAAATACACTTCGTCAGTGTTCAATCATAGATTTCAATGAAAAAATTGATAAAAATTAACATAACATCTTGAAATATAATCTCTTGTAGGGTCGTCGTCCTCGTCAAAAGTTAGGAGGGGTGGTCAATCAGAGTCATCAAACTCAGAGGTGAGTGGTGCATCTGAGTCAGTGGCCAACCTCAAGAGCACCAATCAGACAACAGATCAGAGCAATCAGTTGAAAAAAATTGCTTTCTATGATTTTCTGGGAATGGGAGCCACTTGATTGAGAGTCATATGCCACACAAGTCTAGTTGTTGGTTGAAAATTAAGAAGAGACAGAAACTTGAACATCATACTGCAGTCAAAATTGGACTGTTCTTTCCATCTTGGTAGAATAGAATAGGATATGATGTGTATATTTAATTAAATGCCTTTTGAAACCCAAAATAAATGTTCAAAAAAAGGAAAAGAAACAGAAAAAAAAAAATTGCAAAAATAAGGCAGGAATGATATTGCTTCTCTAGCTATTGATGGAAGCATGAAACTCTAATGGGATGGAGCAAACCAAAGGGCAAAGGCCTCATCAGCTCTATCAAGTTCAATGTTGATGTCAGTAGGAGACGAGAATTAAGAATAGTAGTGACAAAGAGTGACTTTGAGGATGAATAGTGGAAGCGGTCCCGGTTTGAAGGTTTTACTTACAAGAAACGACAAAGAGTATTTTTGAGGATGAATAAAGGGAGCGACAAGGAGGCCTTAGCTTACTCACAAGATGGAGATTATTTTCAATTCAATGGTGAATTGTGGTTCATATATTATAGGTTTTTACTATGTTGGGAGAGAGTCCTTAAAAAAAGATAAACTTGAAAATGGTTCTTTAGTGGTGGTTAAGAATGCCCTCCACCCTCATTATACTAGGACCTCGATTATTGTTGTTGGATTTGTACTCTGCATCCCATTAGTTGGTTTTTCACGGGTTTTAAGAATGAATTTGCTTAGGTGGAGGAGATAAGGGAGGGAAAGAGAAAGAATGAGATCGTCCTGTAAATCTTGAGATTTTTTTAAAAATGTGGGACCCACTGAAATTAAACTTCTCTCTTCTTGCTTCGCGTGCGCTACAAAACAAGCGCCCAACTGGCGCGTAGTAAATAGCATGTTTATCTTTTAAAAAAGTTCTTTTTTTTTTTTCATTTTTTTTGTTTTTTTTTTTTTTTTCAAATTTCTCTTTCCTATTCATACCTACAAAAACTCCTTACAAACCACACCAAAAACTCCACCAGTGATGATGCCCTTGGAGCATCTACATTAGAGGAGAAATGGGGGAGAATTCACTATTTTTTTTCCCTCCCCTCTTACATTATTCTCTTTCCTACTCACTCTTACATTCTCCCCCTAATATCCCTAACTGATAAGGATGCTCTTACACATGTCTAAAAGAAAGTGAAATTTTATGCAAATTAATTGCATTGTGAGTGGTGACAAACCACAACATGTCTCACTTTTGAATTTCACATGTTTTGACACTCCTTTAGGAAATCAATATCATGTAGAGACGGCTAACGTGTGTTGTACTAATATATGTTGTCTATATTTAACCAACTCAAACAAAGAAGGTCAATATATATCTCTTATAGAGACTAAACTTAAATTCTTGTGGGTACCGAATCAATTGTCGTACCAACAAGATTGGGATTGCCCACGACATTTATATTCTTGAAAATATTATTCCGGAATTGAGTTATTCTTTTTGTTAAGGGAATAATTATTTCAAAGGAAGTATTAAACTATTCTTAAGTTTTCAAGAATAATTTATTTATTTATTATTATTACGGAACTTGTACTAAACTATTCCTAAGAAAGGTTCATGATCTCTTGCCTAGAGATGAATGTGGGGGAGGGGGTTGGGTATTTATTTAAATTTATTAAAATAAATTTTAAAAGTTAATTTTAAAATAAATTTACACGCATTTATTGGGACGTTTCAAGGTGACTGCCAGCTGGTGTCACTCTAAAATGAAAAGAAAAATATTGGCAACGGCAAATTTTATTTTTTAAAAAATATTATTAATTATTATTTTTAAGTAATCAATTTTAATTTTTAAGCAATTATTAGTCATTTAATTTTAATTTTATAATTTTAATTTTATAATTTTAATTTTAATTAAATGTAAATATGTTTATTTAATTAATTTTTATTACAATTATAAATTTATAATTCAATTAAATAAATAATTAATTAAAATATAGGATAGTAAAATGGTGAGTTCACAAAAATTAAGAAAAAAACATCAAATTAATATGGAGAAAGATTTTTATAATTGAGTATGATTTTAGATGACAGGGTGGATGTTGGGGCGTACAAAAAACTGCGAAAAACTACAAATTATTGATGATGTCTTTAATTTAAAGCATTATATAGTTTCTGTTCCATTTTATGTGTCTAGTTCAGTTAACGAGGCTTGATTGAAATTAGTTTTAATTCAATTTTTCATAATATTAAGTTTAGTATTAGTATACAAAATTCATATATTTAGAAACTACACTAGAAGTACTATTAAATACCAAAAAAAAAAATCAAATTTGAAAATGAGTAAAAAACACTAAAGAAAATTAACAGAAAAAGTTGGTTGATGAAATGAGACATATGGAGTATTATCTAAAATTTAGCATGTAAATCAAATAAGGTGTATTAATTTTTTTTTAAAGTGTATTAATTCTTTGTGTTTCAATAGATTAGAAAAATATGTATCAACTGATACTATATTGTAACACTAATATATTGTAATAGAATTAGTAGGAGTTACAAAAATCAAACAAAGTACCTATAATTCAAGTCGTCGGTTTTAGAGGCAAAAGGACACAAAAAGCAGCCTTTGTTGACAAGGGAGAGAACGGATGAGGACACCAAAACACAAAAATTTTCCCCAACATTTAACTTTATTTGACTTGTCTTTATCCTAAAAGGAATATCGGTTTGGCAATTTGACACATTGTGAAATGTTTCTCCATCACTCCATTCATTGCTTAATTCCCTTGCTTTCTATTTACTCACTTTTCTTTCAACTTTTTAATCTTTATCAAATTGACATGTACCAAATAGGTCCATTTTATTGATCCTATGTCGGTTCATCTTTTTTTTTTTTTTTTTTTTTTTTTTTTTTTTTTATATATGAAAATATAACATTTTTCAAAGAATACAACATACATCCACATAAGATTTTGAAGAGAATGTGATTCCCTAATAATTCTGAAGTTATCTAAGATTACTATGAATATTTACTAATTTACAAATTTTTTCACTTTAATTCTAATTATAGTAATATATATATATTTTATGTTAGCTTATTATATGTACTAGTATTTTCACCCGTGCGATGCACGTAATGGAATTGTTGTAATATATTAAGAATATTTAAATCGATATATAATTATTTAAGAGTTAATTTCACCAGAGATCGCTTATCTCTTGAAAATCCCAAATTTAATCCTAGACAATAGTTATTAATTATTACGATTTATTCTATATCATAATTCTTACGTTAATATTCTTACTATTATTATTAACACTTAATTACTTTTAGATATTATTATTACCACTTATATTATTATTATTAGTTTCTTTTCAAGTTCTGTTAGTATATAATGGCCGTGAGGCACAATAATAATATAACAATAATTAAATATTCTTGTATTGTATTCCGTGAGTCACAATAATAATGTAACAATAATTAAATATTCTTCAATTCTATATTCTTCTAGGATTTCTATTACCATCATTAATTATTCCCTAATTTTTCATAATTAAATAATTTAACCCATTATAAAGAGAGATTATTAAATAATACACAGGACATTTTTTAATTAAAAAATTTAAAAATTCATTAATAAAACATAAGGTTCTGATAGTTTTTTCTTAGAAAATATTTAATAAAGAATTTTTTTTAGAAATTAGTGGGTCAAACCGCCTACGGTGGATAGATCTCAAAAAAATACGCGATTTCAAAAACACATTTGTCCAAAGCGGACAACCGAGTCAAAAGTTATGCCTTGCCGAACATTTGACACTTTACAACCTATATAAAAAAAAAATTAATCGCCGGTTCAGCCAGCGAAGCAGCCGCGGAGGAGGCCGATTCCGGACTTCCTAGCCGCGGCCAGCGGCGCGATAAAAAAAATTATTATTTATTATTAGGGGGGTTTGAAAAATATTAACCCAAAATGTATATGTGTTGTTTTTGTTTTTAACCCAGAATTTTTGTACGAATAGAAAAGTAGAAATCAATATATTTTATAAGGAAGAGAGATTTTTTAGGAATTGGGCGGGAAGTAAAAATTGCAGGATTTTGTTTTTATATATAGTATAGATGTATAGATAGATATATAGATTACAATAGAAATTAAATCACAGTATTTAATAATATTAGAATAAAATTTTAACGCAAAATTTTTGTACGAATAGGAAAGTAGAAATCAATATATTTTATTATGAAGGGAGATTTTTTAGGAATTGGGCGGGAAGTTAAAATTGCAGGATTTTGTTTTTATATATAATATAGATTATATTTAATTATTTTTGTAATTATATATTTTATTTTATTTTTATTATGTCATATTAACTTATAAAATAGTTTCTCAAATTTAAAGTTTTAGTTAACTATTTTTAAATCATGTAATTATATATGATACCATTATCTTATAATTCTTATTTATTTAAAATTAGTTAAAATATATGAAAGTATGTTAAGGGCTTTAAAGTAATATATATATATATATATATATATATATATATATATATATATATATATATATATATATATATATATAGTAATAATCAAATGAGATCACATCTTCCCGTGAGTCTCTGAGACCTTTCATATATATCGAAAATTACTTACACGAATGCTCACGAATTAGATTGTGTGCAATTCACGCCACATTAATGTACACAAGCTACTATATATGTATGTCCTCGTGTAGTAAATTGTGTGCATTTATGAAGGGGCTCATGGTACACACGAGAACATGTGTGGATGCACTTGAATATTTGACTATTTAGCCTCGCATTGCCCTTATATAGTAGATTATGTGTATTTACAAAGAGTCACAATACTTACGCGAACATGTCTGGATGCATGTACTTGAATACTAGCATGTATATCACATAAAACATAACCCTAAACTAAATAGATTTATATTACATACCTCAATTTTAATTAAACACATAAATTTAACAGTCCCAACAATATAACATTTTTTAATTGAATAATCTAACATTCTGTGAACTAAACGACTCGTAAGTGATAAATTGAAAGGGGAATATAACATAACTCAAATATGTCGGATTCAATCATTTTGCATGGGATTGAAACATGTTTGAAATTG